ACAAGGCTGCAGGACCAAAGCCATCCCCATCGCCCAAGCAGTGCCCAGGGGCTGCAATTGAACTTAGGAGGTGAGTGAGATGGGAAATGACCCCAAAACAAGGGGGGATTGGAGTGGGTGCCTGCAGGACCCCCCTCCAAGCACTGGCAGGGCATTGGTGCTCAGCCCCCATAGCACGTTTGGCCCTCGCAGCATCCTTTGTCTCTTCCACTCCTCGCCTTCCTCTTTCTCTCCTTTTAAAGCCCTCTGGCTGTGCAGGACCCAGGCAACCTCTTGGCCACGGCCCAGCCCCTGAGCTGGGCTTTGTCCTGCTGCCAGCCATGGAAGTGTCTCTGCATCTGCACCTTGATGCAGGGTCCTACAGCACAGCGGGTGCATGGGCAGCAACCCCCTTGTCCCACACCTCCCAGCCAGCAGTGGGGCTCCGGGGGTCTGGCTCTATCCCCATAGCAGGGCCAGAACCAGATGTAGATCAGAACCAGAACCAGATGTAGATCAGAACCAGAACCAGATGTGGATCAGCACCAGAACCAGATGTAGATCAGAACCAGAACCAGATGTAGATCAGAACCAGAACCAGATGTGGATCAGATCCAGAACCAGGTGTGATCAGCATCAGAACCAGATGTGGATCAGAACCAGAACCAGATGTGGATCAGCATCAGAACCAGATGTGGATCAGATCCAGAACCAGACGTGGATCAGAACCAGATGTGGATCAGATCCAGAACCAGACATGGATCAGCACCAGATGTGGATCAGAACCAGATGTGGATCAGATCCAGAACCAGACGTGGATCAGCACCAGATGTGGATCAGCACCAGAACCAGATGTGGATCAGATCCAGAACCAGACATGGATCAGCACCAGAACCAGACATGGATCAGATCCAGAACCAGATGTGGATCAGATCCAGAACCAGATGTGGATCAGCACCAGAACCAGATGTGGATCAGCACCAGATATGGATCAGATCCAGAACCAGACGTGGATCAGCACCAGATGTGGATCAGCACCAGAACCAGATGTGGATCAGCACCAGATATGGATCAGCACCAGAACCAGACGTGGATCAGCACCAGATGTGGATCAGCACCAGAACCAGACGTGGATCAGCACCAGATGTGGATCAGCACCAGAACCAGATGTGGATCAGAACCAGGTTGGATCCAAGGAAGAAGTTGCTCCCTGTGAGGGTGCTGAGGCACTGCCCAGAGAAGCTGTGTCTGCCCCATCCCTGCAGTGCTCAAGGCCAGGTTGGACACAGGGGCTTGGAGCATCCTGCTCTAATGGAAGGTGTCCAGCATTCCCTGTGGGCTCTGCGATGGGACCATCCCTGGATGCTGCTGTCTGCCCCCCACAGCACCCCAAGCAAGGTTTGGGTGCTGAGCCCTCGCTCCCTGTTACTTTAGGCTGGTTTTAGGCTCCTTCTCCTTTGTTCCAGATTTACAGCACAGACAGCAGGCCTGCTCGGAATGCAGCTCGGATGCAGGAGGCTGTAAATCTCAGCCTTTGTTGTGCTTGGGCCTCACTAAATCAGTGCTTTTCCCCCTGAATATTCATCTCCTACAAAGTGCTGAGCCCTGCATCTTTGTGGGGAAGAGGCTGACGCAAGGGCCGGGGCTGTGCCATAGGAGACGCTTCCAACCAGGATCCAGGTGAAATCCCCACCACCTCCAAGGCAGAGGCACAGGGGACAGCTGCAGGAATGGGTGCCACAAACCCCTGGAGCTGGGATAACACCGGGATGCCCCTGGGGAAGGATAAAGCAGCGAGGAGCTGGCTCTGGGATGCGAGGGGGGGGACGACTGGAAGGTGTTTGGCACCGGCACGGCTGGAAAAGCTCTCCCCATGCCAAAGCACACACGGCCCTGGATCCGTGTTCATGCACCCCGTGCTGCAGAGCAGCATCCAGCTCCTTATGGGTCCCTTTGCTCCTCTCGCTCTGGGGTCATGCAGCAAACCCCTCCCTTCCATAGGGCTGGGGGTCACGGGGGGCCAGGGCTTGGGCTACAGCACCCATAGGTGCCCAGTGATGAGCTGGTGGGAGCAGGGCTCCCGTTTGCAGCACAAATCCATGTGGGAAGGATGTGTCTTTCCCATCCCAGGGCTGGCTGTGTGCTGGGGTGGGGGGGGAAGGTTGAGCCCCATCCCTATGGAAAGCCAACAACCCACAAGGGCTTGCAGGGGCTTGGTTAGGGATGTGGAAGTGGTCCAAGGATGCTGTGGCTTTACGCAGTGCCCTTGCTCCCCACTGGTGCTCAGCACTGGAGCCGGCAACGGAGCCGTGCGGAGCAGGACAACCAGGGAACGGCATTCCCTGCCTCCCAGATCCTTCTAAATGGGAATCACAGGAGGAAAACAGACACAAAGCAACTCCTCGCTCATAAACACCAGCATGGATGGGGCTCATAGAGCACCACAGCTCGCCCTCAGCTCACCCCTTCATCCCATCAGCATCCCACTGCTTCCTGGGAGCCTGTCACAGCTCTTGGAGGGGGCTTTTGGTGCTGGCACAGCTTGTTCTTCCCTGGCTTTGATGAATCCCTATGGATTTAAGCCAGGGTCCTGCCTCCCGACTCCCACCCATATGGGACACCCTGAGAAAGGGAGCTGCTGCTGTTCACCCGTGTTCCTGCTGCGGAGGAACAAAGAGGCCATTCAAACCCAGCTTTCCCAAGCCTGTCCCTGGTTGCTTCCTGATGGAAGCTGATGGCCTGATCCTGCTCAGCTGCTGGTGCTGCTGGCACACCCAGCCCCTAGTATTAAAGCAGAGGAAGATGAGCTCATTGCTGCTGTGCAGCAGGCACCCACCAGGCTCGCTCAACACATCAGGTAGGCTCATGGTGCTGCAAGCACAGTGGTGATGGGCTTGGTGAGCTGCTGGGGCACAGTCACTGTATCCATGTGCTGGTGATGCCTGCAAAGGGGCTTGTGTGGGGCAGGACAAGGCTCTGGTGCATCCCTCGGGCAGGCTGCAGGCGCAGCACCCAGGCAGCGATGGTGCCCATGGATCTGTGGGCGCTTTGAGGATGCCTGCGCCCCATGGACCACCGTTAGGGGCTGGGGAAGGGAGCAGCACCCCCTGCTGCAGAGCTCGGTGGGGTTGCCTTGGCCGCTGCGTGCAGCGGGTCTGGATGCAAGGCCAGGGTCTGGGCTTTGAAGCAGGCACGGGGAGAAGCTTTGAAGTCTGCTTGGTGCTGAGAACACTTCATTACCCCGCGGTAATGAATGGCTGATTCCGGGAACTCGGAATTCCTCAGCTCTAATGGGTGCCGGGAGGGAACTGGGATCGCTCCCTCCCGCAGCTCCTGGGAATCCAAACCCGCTCTCCTCCCAGCTTGAGGCAGATGCTGGGGTGTTGCGTGCGAGCATCAGGCTCTCCATGTGCTGCTCTGCTGTCGTGGGGCTGCAGCCAGCTCTTTAAAGGAGGGTTCCCAACACACCTCCTCCATGTGGCTTCCTGCGTTACTGGAGGGATGCTGTGCATGGGCACCAGGAGCACCGAGACCTGGGTGCAATCAGGAGCATGACTTCATGGGCTCTAGGGGGGGGTTAAGGCTGGTCCTTGGGTGTCGCTTGGACCTGGAAGCAGGGCCCTGCCTTAAATCCCAAGGGCTTCATAGACATGTGGGATGTGGAAAGCTTTGCAGGTGTTTCTAAAGGCTCCTGGTCGGCCCCGGCTGCCCTTTGGGACATAGTGGATTCCCTCCACCAGCCCATTTTGGGGCTCGTCAATGCAAGCACTGGGTGATGCTGCGATCTACCGGTGGGAAGCGGCACTGGCGTTCACTGCGCTGACAGAAAGGACCCGCATCCCTCCCGTCATTGCCGCGGGGTCAGTCCCGTTTGTGCTCAGCAGCTCCAGCTCCCTCCTCGCACGCTTGTTGCCATAACGAGAACAAGCTGCTCGCATCCTTCTGCACACCCATCTCAGTGCCCGCACTGGGATCTTACACTGAGCAAGCTCCTCTGAGTCAGCCACCAGCAACACCTCACCCGCACCACGCAGAGGAATGGGGTGGTTTTATTGAGGTAACATTAGTTGTTCTTTACTTAACCCCCAATACTCCATGCTGCGTCCCAAGGCAGGGTGCAGGGATGGAACAGGGAACACGGCATTCCTGTGAGCAGGATCCTGGAGCTGTGTGCTTGAAGTGCTGATAGCAGCCGGGCTTTTGAGTTGGATTGTTCTAAGGGCTGTCTGACCTCTACAAGAGATGCTTCATTCTACTTAGCACCAAGTCTAGTTTTACATTGACAATAAGTATAAATACATGTTTAAAACCCATCATCTGAGTCATTGTTGAAGACATAGGACAAGTTAAAAACACATAAATGCTAAAACCAGCTTTTGAGCATCCTCCCATAGAGGCTTCCAGAGTCAGTCAGCATTGGAGTGCCCGAAGCATCACCTTGTGCAGCACAAGGGGTCTGAGCACACTGATGTGCAGCTCTGAGCCTGATAAGGTTTAATTGACTTGATGCAGGTTGTGTCAGACTTGGTCCAGCAGTGAAGCCATCCTCTTCACAGCCCTGCTCTTGTCCAGCAAGTCCTTAGGTCCTCCTGACCAGTTAAGTTCAGCCACAGCACTGAAGAGTGTGCTGGCATCCCTCTGCTGCTCTCATTCACCTTGGTACACATGGAACAGTGAAACACAACAGCGACACAGGCCCCTCTGTGCACTGCTTATTGGTTAACCCATGCTAGGATCAAGAGCTTGGAAAGCTGCAGCAGCCAGATGATGCTGCAGGCCCTGGGGATGGGGGTCTCACACTGTACACCAGGCTTTACCAGAGCTCCAGCACAGCTCATTCTGGGCTTTAGTGCAATGAAGAGTTGCCTTTCCTGAGGTTTAAGAGCACAAACACCCCCCTTCAGCAACAGTGCTGACAATGGCATCACTGTTAACATACCATAAGTTAAACTAGGAGGGGGATCCAGCGCAACAGAGGAGCCGGTGCCATCCAGGTAAGTGCCAGCAAGCTTGGAGCACACAGGGCTGCTGCCCCCTCTTTGGGTGATGCATCCTCTGGGAAAATCCCTCTTTCCTTTTGAGGAGGGGCAGAGGGGACAGTGCTTCTCTCCCAGTGTCACACAGTCCTCGCTGGCTCCAGGCTATGCTCCATTGGCACCGGCTTTGCTGTTCCGAGATGCTTCCATTTGAGCCTGGGTGCAAGAGAAAGATGTGGATTTGAAGCACTATCAGGACAAACGCTTCTTGAAATGCAAGGGATTCTTTGGAAGAAGGTATTTTCCCTATGGGAAGCAGGCTAAGAACAAAGTTACTGTGGAAAGGAGCATCCTCCTCCTTGCAGAGATCAAGCCTGGATGTCTGCATAAGCAGCTAAACTGACATCAGGTATTTACAGCAAGAAAACAGGCACAAGTCACTGCAGAAAGGACTTTACAGCTACAAAATGCCATGTAACCCCAGGGTGGGTTTATCCTCGTGGTCCACAGGCGGATATTAAGGAAGAACACAGGGAAAGGCACACTGGGAATTCCCCACAGTGCCTGTCAAGTGTGGTGGGTTTGTATTTAGCAGCCCTCAATGCAGTTCTCATCCACCCCAGGTGCTCCTTGAACTCAACATCCCCAGCACCTCGTAGCATCCAGCCCCAGCTTGGGAGCTGTGGAAAGAACAATCTCCTTTGGGAAGTCTGAGGTTGGAAAAGCTTACCTCTTGTGGAGGAGGCTTTGCTGGCACTTCTGAGCCTGGCAATTGCTCTGTTGGCTGGGATACAACCCCTTCATCCTTTAAGGGAAAAGCAGCTTTAAGACATAGAAGCTTTGGAAAACAAAGCTCTACCTCCATCCCATCCAGCCCCTTCTCCTTCCCATGCACTGCATGCCTGTGAGAGCTCCAGGTCAGCATCTCCAACCTAACAGTGCTGTTTGGGAGTCCTCCTAGCAGTCGACACAATGTCCTCCTTCAGTTCTGTTGCTGCTTCTATCAGCTTGGACTAATCCAAGGAATTCTCTTCAGCCTTATGCTGAGAACCATCCCCTCTGGCTTTCCTGCTCCAGGTGTTTTGTCTCCCCTTGTCCTGGACCACTCCCCAGCTCACTAAGAGAGCTGAAAACAAGTCTCAAAGTCACCTTTAACTGGCTTCTCTGAGCTAATTGTACCTGGACAGAGGTCTCTGTATGTGACTAAAGCAACTTAGCAGCTTGTGAGCCCTCCTCTGCTGGAAGCCAGCACCCTGGTACTGATTAACTTGGGTTATTAACCCTAATCCTGGTGCTGCTTCCAGCACCAGCCCAAGATGTGCCATAGCTCTCGGTACCTTTCACTGCCTCAAGGCAAAGCGTGCAACCATGAGGCTCTGTGGCACAAACACAACGCAAGCACATGCACTGCTTGTGTGCTCTGGACAATGGTGTCAAACAAGGGGTGTTGCCTAGCTCTGGAAGGCTTTGTCCCCATGCTCTTCCCAAAGATTACAGCAATACACCCTCATTGTCCTACTCGGAGATTGCTCTTTTCCAACCTTTCCTCCCTGTACAACAGGGGCAGGATCCATCAGGGTCTCTTGGCCTTTGAGAGTGGATGTCGAGATTGGAGCAGTTTCACCTCTCTGCAGAAGAACACTGAGCTCAGCACAGTTCTAACTTCAGCCCCCTCCGAGGATCAAAGAACAAGATCCTTGTCTCAGGGCTTCACCTTTACAACGTGTAATGGTTGAGCTATTAACCTGAAAGCTGTATTCAAACAACTCACCTGCTTTTGGGGAACTGGAGCAGGTTGTGGCTTTGCATCTATCAAGTACAAGGCACGGGAAAGCAGGAGCAGAGAAGGTGGAACGTTCTCTTTCAAATGCAGATCCAGCCACTATTGGAGGAAAACAGAAGGAAAAGGTATTTCATACATGGTTTTATGTCAGTACAGAAAACACAGCACCCTTTGTCCTTCAGGAGCTTAAAGGTATCTGGAGTTTGACTTGCACAGATTGAAGTTGCCACAATGAGAAGGAATAGCTTGGAAGAGTTAAGGATACCAAATGGAATACACACTAGAGAGGATGCTCCCAGCTGCTCAGAAGGGCAAACATCACTACTGAGAAGCAGCCACCAGCTAAAGCAGAGTACTTTGAGTTACCTGTGTCTTACACAAACATCACCTACCGCACTATGTGTAACCTGTTTCAATGCTTACAGAACACTGGTGTTGGCTCTGCTACAACTCTTGGCTACTTTAGAAGCTTAAATCATATTCCACACCCCCTCCCTTCATCTTCCTTCTAGCTGGCCCTGATGCTACTTGGTCTTCTCTTTAGTCCAAGCCATCATCTGGATCCTGCATGCCTTTAATATGTTTTGTCAGGCGAGGATCCACGTGGAATGGATGAATCCCTGGTGAAGCTGGGCCTGAGCACTGCTCCTCACTGTGTCCTAGGACCACACCGGAGTGGACTTGCCTGTCTGAGCTGTTCCTTCAGTTGCTCCTCTGAGAGACCCAGTGACCGCATCCCTCTGGCTCTGCACGCGCTCTGCAGCTCGGACACACTCAGGCCATTGACTCCTTCCTTGGCAATCAGCTGCAATGAAAAGGGATGCTCCTATCCAGGCACAGAGTAAGCCAAAACCCTGATGTACTTGCTGGGCTTGAGCCCAAAGAAAGGTCTGTTTAGGTAAATGGGCATAAAGTCACCCCGATACAAAGATGAGAGGGAACCTTTGTGGGTTATTCCTTCTGACAGCTTTCAGCTCCAGAGGATGGAAAACCTGGATCCTAATTACTTTGGGTTCCCCCCAGGCATACGTTACACGTGATGCTGCAGGTCCGAAGAGCTCCTTCACACACTCAACTGCAGGCTTTAAAGCTGGACCAGCGTTAGTTAGTTAGCTGGCTAGTTAACTAATTAGTTAGTTAACCTGGTTAGTTGCATGGGCCTGTCAGAACTCCTCACCTCTTCCTAGCAGTAACCTTTCTGGTATTTTCTTTTGTGTCCCAATAGGATTCTTTACACCATTTCAAACCACAGCTCCTACACAAGCCTAAAACATAGGCTGGGACTTCTGGAGGTCCCCAGTCCAACCTCCTGTTCAACAGAGGGTTAAGTTACACATTTCTTTACATTGCTCAGCCTTTTCCATGTATGCCTTGAGCATCCTTAGGGATGCGGATTCCACAGCCTTTGGAAAACCCGTTCCACTGTTTACCCACTGAGTTTGACTTTGTTTCCTTATCAAGATGGAATTTCCCTTGCTGCAACTGATGACCTTTACCTGTTCTCCTCCTGTGCACCTCTAAGTCTGGTTCCATGTGCTAAGCAACCCCATTAGGTGCATCCTCCCTTGGCCTTCTCCAGGCTAGAGGAATGCAGCCACTCTCTAAACTAATATAAACTCATCCTGAATTCACTTGGTTCATGGTGTTTCCATGCGATGTCTATTCCAGACCTGGAAAGCAGCAGTGATTCAGTGGGCTTGCGCTCCACCAACGCAAGGACATCTGAGCTGCCTCAAGCTCACCTCATCGTCTGCCTTGATGGTTCTGAGCCTGAGCAGGAGCTGAAAGCGGAGCAGGTTGTTGGTGCCGATGGGCTGCAGCTCAAGCAGCTTGCACAGAGCCACCAGCTGAGGCCGTTCCAAGTGCTCCAGGGTGAGCTCGTCCTCAAAGAGCTTGGAGAAGCGCACGATGTCCTGGGTGCTGGGCTGGTGGCCGCTGCGACGGATCTGGGCAAAGCAAGAGGCATCAGGGCCAAAGAGCACCCCAGCTTGGGAAGGATCCTCTTGCCCCTCTCAGGAAGGGGCCCTTCCTGTTTCTCACACTGGGTTTTCAGCCTCTGGATGGAAACCAGAGCCTATAGTTACAAGGCCAAAGGGAAACAGCATTGAGTGGCCACTTAAAGGACGCTCCAGCATGGGAATGCTTGTCCGTATGGATAGCTCTGAGTGGTGGGGTCAAGAGCTAGTGCCAGCAGGGCATCAGCAGCAGGAGGGCATCCAGTTAATGGTAACCCCAGACAGACAGCTCTGCAATCTTAGTACAAATCCCTCATTCTCTGCTCAAAACAGCATCGCTAAACCCCACCACCACCACCCCCCAGCCCATTTTACCTGGTGCACATAAGAGGAGAATTGTTTTCCTTGTGCTGATTCCACTTTGTTCCTTTTGGCCATCTCTGCAATGGTTTCCTGCAGGAACTTGGCTAACTCCAGCTTCGCGTTTAACCTCTTCTTCTGCTTCTCTTCCTTCATTTAGGAAACGAAACAGAAATTAGGAATTCCACTTGAAAATCAGGAGGGGATTGCGGGAAGGAGATGGGATAGGGCTTCAGGGCTGAAAGCAAACAGGCTTGGGTTGAGGCAGGTAAATGACTTGCTGTGTGCTTTCCTGCATCACTGCTTACAGCACACCCACCAGACCCTGGTGCTCAGCATAGGAACAAGCTGGGCCCTCGACCTGTGCATGAGGCTGTTCCTCACCCACAGCAACAGGCAGGAAGCAAGAGCTCTTGTGTGCAGCTGTAGAGATGCTCTGATGAGCTGGAGAATGCCCTCAGGAAGGACACAAACCTTCTTTGACTCGGTCTCAAACGTCGAGGGCAGCATTTCAGGAAAGAGCTTCAAGAACACAGGCAACAGGAACTCCATGAAGGGGACAATGACAAACACCAGGAAGGGAACCAGGCGGAAGAGATCTGCACAAGTTCTCAGCAGCTGTAGAGAAGACACAGCAGAAATCACCACTCAACCAGGCACACAAATGGGCTCCAAAGGGAGCGTGGCAACCGAGCGGTTCAGCGCCTTTCATAGAACCATTGAGTTTGGGTTGGAAAAGACCTGAGGATCACCCAATTCCAACCCCCTGCCATGGGCAAGGGATGCCTCACACTAGACCATGTCACACAATGTGGCCTTGCACACTACCAGCGATGGAGCATTTACCACTGTGCCAGCTCCTCAGCATCCTCACATAAAGAACTTCTTCCTTATCTCCAACCTGAACCTCCCCTGTTTCAGTCTGAACCCATCACCCCTTGTCCCATCGCTACAGCCCCTGATGAAGAGCCCCTCTCCATCACTGCAAGCCTCTTATCGCATCATTTCAGCCGGGTAGCACTCACCCTTCTTCTCTCCCTCCTAGTGAGGACCTGGCCATGTAGCAGCCTCCACACCATCCTGGCAGCCACCTTCGTGTCGATCCAAAGCAAGTGGAATCCATTGTAATAATGCCTCAGTTCCCCCACAACTCGTTGGCGTAAAGACCTTGTCCCCTTGGGCCTCTCTGCGTCTGGAGCAGTGTCGGGATGAGCCTTATGGGTCACATCGCTGCGGGATGTGGGTTCTTCCTGGTGTGAGCAGCTGGAGGTGTGGAATGCCCGTAGGGATGCAGCCAGTGGATGGGGCAGGATGGTACCCACGGGAGCACGGCACCCATGGTTCACAGAGTCTCTTACACAGGTCCAGCTTAAACCAGGATCCACTGCTTGGGCAAAAGCAGCTGCTGGGGAGTGCGGAGAACTGGAATGCGCGAGGAGATGGGAGCCTCTGAAACTGGGAAGGTGTTTAAGCAAGTCAGAGCAGCGCGGCCGTGGTACCCAGGCTTCAGACACACATTAATGGCCTTAGTGCCAAATTCATAGCCACCGACTGCTTTGGGTTGAAGGGGTCTGAGAGGAAAGTACTGAGAATCACAGCAGTGCCCTATGATCCATCCAGTGCTGACAGCTCTTTTGGTGGAGAACAGCTCAGGACTTCACACTGAAGGAAAGCCCTTTTAGCAACTGCACTGCTCCAAATTTGCTAGTTTTAAACCCAAACCGTATGTTCAGAACGGAGATCACATCTCCTGCCCCAGCAGCATCACTTGGGCATCATGGGCAAACTCCATCTCCTTTATCAATGGGAGAAGACCTCGCCCACCGGAATCCCTGTGTTTTAGTTAAACCAAACGTTGCATTTCCCATCTTTAACCCAGGAATCGTTTTAACGCATCCCTGCAGCGTCTTAACGCATTGCTGCTACCGCACAGCGCCAGTAACCGCATATAAACGGCTAAAGCAAGGCGTTGCGGTGCCCGGGACCCCCAGAGGTGCGCTTACCCCATCCCTATCCCCATCCCTGGAGCACAGAGTGCTTGGAAACCCCACCGGCTCCTTACCTGTGCCTGGCGGCGGCGCGGAGCAAGCTCCATCCGCCTGCGGCCATGGCGGACGGGCTCGGGCCCCGGAGGATCCCTCATTCCCCTCGGGGCCGCAGCTCCCGGTGCTGGCCCCATCGGCGGCTCCCGCACCGCCCCATCGCGCCCGGTCCGCAGCGCTCCCGCATCGGCGAGCGCCGCTCTATGGCTGCATCGCCATCACGCCACGGCGCGGCGGCACGGCCCGCTCCGAGGGAGCCAATCAGAAGGCGGGATTGAGGCCCTGCCGCACAGGACACCCAATAGGAGCGGGGAGGAGGCGGGGCTTGACCCGAGGTGGCACTAGAGCGGGCTGGTCCAAGCGCTGCCGGTGATGGGGCAGCCACGGCTTCCCCGTTCAACCCATCACGGTGTCCCAGCACCCTCACAGGGCAGCACTGCTTAAAGAGCCCATCTCAGCCTCCCCTCTGGCAGCTTAAAGCCATTCCCCTTGGCCTGCCCCTGCATCCCTTGTCCAGCTTTCCTGCAGCCCCTTCAGGCACTGGAGCTTCTCTGAGGTCTCCCCTTAAGGAGCCTTCTCTTCTCCAGGCTGACCCAGCCTGGCTCCGGAGCAGAGCTGCTCCCCTCATCCTCATGCCCTTCACTGGATGGGCTCCAACAGCTCCCCATCCTTACGCTGGGGACACCAGAACCGTATGCAGTGACCATTAACGTTTAATTCCACGCATTTAGAATGCACAGAAGGGAGAGGGAAAGCCTTTCCCAGCCCAACTCTGATTGTGTTGAAAGAAAGTTGCTTTACCATCCCCGTTCACACTGGGGGCCATGAGATCATCACTCAGCTCGTGTCTCAGCTTCCTCTTCCGTGTTAGGTCTCATCGCCTTCTACCTCATCCTTCCTGCTTTATTGTCCACGCGTGTCACCTCCACATCGCGTTTACTTCGCCTTTCCTTGCTTCCCTTCCCTTGTCTCCCCCCCCCCTGCCCCGTGCTGGCTTCGCTGCAGCGCACATTCACTCCGTGCGCTCCGCTTGTGTTTTCCGGGGCTAAATAAAGCCGGGAGGGCCGTGAAGGAGGGGAATTAACCACGACCATCCCGATGTCTCCTTCACCACTCACAACCTCCCGCGAGCCACGGCGCTTCCCTCCCGGCTCCCACTGGGGTCCCTCGGCCGGGGCCGGTGCTTCCCAGGCCTCACCGTGAGCTCCTCGGGATGCGGGACACGGAGTCGCGGGGCCGAGCTGACCCCTCCGGACTACAACCCCCATAATGCCTTGCGGCCGACGCCGCCCGGGTACCCAATAGGATGCGAGGGGCGGTGGCGTCCCGTACGTCGTGCGCGGCGGCGGCGGCGGCGGCGGGGGGGCGGAGGCGGAGGGCGCGCAAGCGGGGCCGGGACCGGGCCTGAGCGCACCGAGCGCCGCCTTCCCCCGCCGCCAGCGGTCGCCCGCGCCCCGCCGAGCGCCTCCCCTTGGCCGCAGCGGCCGGGAGCCGGGCGGTGGGGGGGGCGGGCGGGCGGCCTCCCTCCCGGGGCGGAGCTCGGACGCCAGCGGCGGGGGCGCGGAAATCGAGGCCGGGGCTCCATCGCGGCCTGCTGCTGCAGCGGGAGGAGGCGGGAGGCCCGCCCGCCGCCGCCGCCGCAGCCCCCGCCGCCGGCCTTTGTCTCCGCTGGGCTGGGTGGACGCGGCGGGGGCAGTTAGAATGGAACACACTGAAGGTGAGGGGCAGCGGGGGCGGCGGCGGCGGCAACGGCCCGACCGGGCTTAAAGGGGCCGCGGCCGCCATGTTTGCTGCCGGCGCTGCGGCGGCACCGGCGCGGGCCCCACGGGGCGGGCGGTGGGGCGGTGTGAACGGGGCTGTCCCGAGCCGAGCCGACCCCGCGGCAAGGGCCGGGCAGCAGCGGAACGCGGGCTCCGTGGGGCCGGGCAGCGGGACCCGCTCCCTGCCTCCCTCCCACCCCTCCGGTTGCGCAGGCGGCAGGTAACCGGGGTCCGGGGAGGTGTGTGTGGGGGGGAACCTCGGGCTCGGTGTGTGTGTGGTGTGAGCGGCGCTGTGCCCCTCGGCTCCCCGTCGGTTGTAAGGGTTTCCTGTGTTTGGAATGCCGGGCAGAGCGCGCTTGGATGGGTTGGGGTGGGTTTGGTGCTGTTGCTTCCTTGTGTGTCCCGGCCGGCTTGCTTTGGAGGGTCAGTTTTAATGAAGGCTGAAGGTTTTCGAGGAGGTGTTAAGAAGGAATCCTAACGCTGATCCAGTTCATTGTGTACAAACCGCCCCAAAAGCCGGTGTAAGGTAATGGGAGCTGAGGAAGAAGTTGTAGCCTGGTTTAGTGGTTGTTCCCGTGGCTTTAGTGTCGAGATGCGCAGAGGAAGTTGGGGCAGATTAAGAGTTACAATGGGAATAATGAACTGCTTGGGAAGGCTTGGCTCCCAAAAGTGAGCATGGGCTTCATGGAGTCACGGAGGAGAGGATGCTCATCGAGGGCTGCATGGTTTGGGTTCATGCAACAGCGTTGTGAGGCTTTCAGGGTGTTCACTGCCCCTGAGCTTGAAGGGATTCCTATGGGATACAGTGCAGTTACTGCACTGGGTTGAGATGTGGAAGGACGTCACGACTCTTACAAGGCTTGGTATTAAAGAGCTGGTTTCCGAGACTTTAAATCCCGATGATTTAGAGCCCCAAAGCGACCCCTTTTCTTTCCCTTTTTAACCCATAGCGTTGTCTTTGCTGCTGCCCAAGTTGTTCCGTTCCGGGGGTAACTTCGTGCAGTGCCTTTCTCAAACCCAGGTTTCAGCCTTGGCTCTTTCTTCTGGCCTTAAACAAAAGCAAAGCACCTTTAGGAAGGGACCCAGGGGAGGGGGCAGTCTCACCACACACCCTCAGGTTTGTTTAGAGGCCTCTGATTCACCCTCCATGGCTGCCAGGAGAGCCCAGCTGAAGCCAGGAGGGGTCCACAGGCTGCAGTTCCTCTGCTAAGGAAGCTCTGTGCTGTTGGAAACCATCCCAAACCCTTCTAGGATTCCATGGAAAACTCGGTGTTGTCTTAATGTGTGTAAAGCAAGCTTGCCATGAATGGTTTCCTAAGGCCATGCAGGACAAAGTGGGACAGAGGAGGTTGCAAATCCCCATGGCAGGAATGGGGAAGACTCATTCTGTTATTTCTGCTCCTGTATTGTGAGCATCACAGAAGGCTGTTAGGGTTGAGGAAGCAGCTCCGCAGGTGATTTTGGACGTGACCATAGGCAAGGTGAGGCTGTGCTCAGTGGTGGTGAGGAGCCTCAGGTGTTTCACCTGGTTCCAGGTGTTAAGAGCAGGAATGGAAACACAGCAGGAGCTGATTGCATCACTTCTAAACCTGAGTGAGCCAGCTCGGTTCCAGCCCAGCAGCTGTCCTTGGTGAAACACCTACAGCAGAGCTCTCAGCTCAGCTGCGTGGAGGAGATGCTGGAGGTGCCCGGTACCAGCATGGGTGAGACACGGGGGTACATGGAATGAAACAGTGTGGAAAGTGGCACTGAATGGGTGTGCGGTGACTCAGGCAGTGAAGAGCTGGGCTGGTTCTGCTGGAGAAGGCTCCAGGGAGACCTCAGAGTGGCTCCCAGTGCCTCAGGGGGCTACAGGAAAGCTGGAGATGGGCTTTGGACAAGGGATGGAGGGGCAGGACAAGGGGGAATGGCTTTAACCTGGTACAAGGGAGATTGAGCTGAGCTCTCAAGTTCTTCACTGAGGGTGATGGGACGCTGGGATGGATTGAATGGAGAAGCTGTGGCTGCCCCATCCCTGGCAGTGCTCAAAGCCAGGTTGGACAGGGCTTGGAGCACCCTGCTCTAGTAGAAGCTATCCTTGCCTATGGCAGGGCTTGGAACTAAAGGAGCTTTAAGGTCCCTTCCAACCCAAACCAGGCTGGGATTCTATGATGTGAACAGATCTTTGAATCTCTCTGCTTCAGCCCGGCGTGGATGGGAGCTGGGTTGTTGTTGTTACAGTGTAAAGACATCCCTGGAACTCCTGCTTTCGAGCCTGTTGATCGGAAGCGTGGCTGAGGGTGACGAGGCGGTGACACCGTTCACTGAGCACATAAGGCTGACTCAAACGCGTGCTGTTTCAGCTCAGTGAGCCAGTAGGACAGTTCCTGTTCGCACAGCAGATGCGTTTGCCATCCTCTTGGCTCTCCCAAGCGCTAACCAACTGCTGCAGGCAGGGCTCCCCGTGTGGGGGTGTCCCCGGGAAAGGGTGCCTTGAATACAGAAAGGCTTTGTGGAAATCCTGCCGTGCCTCCCTTGATGTTGTGTCAGCTCCAGGGATCTTCTCGCCTTGCTTTGAGCTCTTCCTGCCGGAGCAGGAGCACAGTGGATGGATCCATGGCGCTCCCGTGTTGCTGTGGGAGCCCAAAGCTCCTTGTTCAGGAGGAAGAGCAGCTCCCATCAGATGGGATCAGCATCCTTTGGAGCTGTTTGATGATCTGAGGGCTCAGTTGTTATTTAGTGTGCTGCAGCACAGCAGGAATACTGGGGGGGGGGTGGTTTGCTGGGAGGGAAGTTGCGAAATGCTCCTGCTAAAAATGGCTTTAGAGAAGTACCAGGGTGAACCCAGAGGGTTCCAGAGCTCTTTGAAACCTTCCCGTTGTCCTGAGTGGTTTGAGTCAAACTCAAGTGAAGAAGCTGGGATGGGGTGGGAAGTGAAGCAAACTTAGTGTGAGTTGAAGAGCTCTACCAGGTTAACCTCCCTTTGCCTCGTACTGCTTTTATGTTTTCGTTCATTTGCTTTCCCCTCTGGTACTTGGAACTGGGACTCTCCCATGAATAGATTTGCTCAAGCAGTGTCTGTAAACAGGCTCATTCCCTGCTCGGGCAGAAGATCCTGCAGGGAAAGGGCCATGGGCAGGCTGTGTTTCTCTCCCCAGGTTTGGAGGACAAACTCTTTTCCCTCCTTAGGACATCCAGTTGTGGTTTGGAAGGTATTGATGGCTTCATGGTGTTTCCCAGCTGCTCTGAAGTGCCTGTTTCCTATAGACCTGAAGTAATAGGTTTCTTTAGCTGTTGGTTGAGTTCCAGTGTTACATGTATTGTGGATCGTGTTCGGAACCAAAATCCTACAGCTTGCAGGAGGCTGACACTGTGATTTAATAGAGTGATGGCTGTTGTAATGGCAAGAACTTATTCTGAACCACTTCCTTGCAGGATCAACGTGGATTACTGAAAATCACCTTCAGCTGGGGGGTTAGGTGGTGTTCCTTTGCTGAGGAGGGACAGGCCCAACTCTCTTGAGCCTCTTTGATGTTCCAACAGCCGTGGGGATGACTTATACATGGGAATGACTTGTCCAAAGTGATCCTTGCTGGGGTTTGGCTGTCGAGCTTCCTGTACTTTCCGCGTTGATGGTTCTGATCCCTTGGTAGCTCCAGGGGCTGTCCTTTCACTGGGCAGCAACTGGGAAACAACCAAAGCAATGCAGAGCTATGGAGAGGAGGGGAGGGTGGGGAGCTCTGGGTGTGAGAGCCGTGATGACAGCGGGGAAGGAAGAGGCTCCAGATGATGTAACCTCTGTGGGAGGAGAGTACCACAACTGAGGTTTAAGACCTGAGAGTAGCAGTGAAGCAATAGCCCCTGGTGCTGCAGCCTGGATGGGGAGGTACTGAGGTAGGTGTGAAGGGCAGGCTGTGTTACCCAGGTGAGCTCCACAAAGGAGTTAGTTCAATAACCAAGCTCCTCTCTTGTGCTGGAAACTCCTAAATCCAATGGAAAAAGAGAGATTTGAAGGCCATTAACCCATAGCCTTCACCAGGTAACAAAATGAAGCGTGCTGGCAACACATAGACCTTGTGGAGGCGACTGTGTTGGCAGCATTAGGAGCAGCCTTACCTGGGGACTGGCAGCGTGGGCAGACTTTGACCCAAGGACTCTGTGGGCAGGAGATAAGAGCCACCAGACAGTGGCTTGCAGCTTTAGAGTTCTGTTAATGCCATGCCTGGATCTCCTTAATTCCATTCTGGGATAGTTGTGTTAGCAGGGAGAACTTCTCAACACCACCAAAACTGCTGGGTTTGCTGCTGTACCTTATTCCAGCCCTTCTAAGTTAAAATAAGCTGCCTTGGCGTGAGCATTCCTTGAAGGAACAGGCCAGAACTTCTCTCTGTGTTGCTTTGAATGCTGCATCTCACTGTAGACCCATAGACGTGACCGTGACAAGGAGCCTGGGGTATTGTCACAGCTTGGTGCTCTAGCCTTGTGAAAGGGAGTTCTTCCCATAGGAACACAGCTGAGGCTCAGAAACACCCTGTTAAATCACTCAGCAGTCTGTAGATCCTCAGTTTCAGAGTGATGTTTATAGATGGGATCAGAATGGGGGAAGGCAAGTAGCCTAACACAGAACCCTGCAATGGGCCTTGGTGTCCCAGTGAAACACAACACAAAGCAGTTGGGTTCATATCCCCAAGTGTGGAAGCTCTTCTGAGGCAAGCCTGGAAGTTGCCAGTGTGACAGGGAAGGGTCTGCTCTAAGGGGAGGAATGAGATGTGCTCAAGTTCTTTGCCCGCATCAGATGAGCATCCTCCAACAGGGCCCAAAGCTCACAGCATTTCCACCCTCAGGAGGACATAAAGCAACATTATCCAAGCACCATGAGACATTAGCAGGGTTACTCTTTAACTCTCTATAGTTTTCTTGTCTTAGATTTTCTTTTTCTTCAAGTTGATTTTTGCTTTTGATATAGTTCTGGTGTGGCCTCGCCAAAGGCTGGGTCCTGGTGTGATGTCCTTTGGCAGATCCCTTGTTGAACATCCTAGTGCTTCATGCTGAACTAAGGGGATGGTCTTACTTTTGTTGTATTTGGGTAAAAGAACGTGATTTATTTCCTATTCAAAGCCTTCCAAAACTGGGAAGTTGAAAGTAATTCTAAGCTCTGTTAAACTCTCCCTGCTTTGACTCTGCCCATCAGTGGATGTACCAGTTAGATAAAGTTAGGGGGGTTTTAAGTACCCAGAAGAAAAAGAAGATTGAACCTGCTTTCAGTAACAATAGAAGCAGCCTCGGGTGCAGTTTGTTGCTAGGGTGAGAAATGTGTTGTTTGCTCTTCAGGCTGACAGACCTAAAGCACAAGTAGTGGGTGAGGAGGACAAACAGTGCCGCTTCCTCTTCCTGGAGCTGGTGGTTTTGTGTGTTGGTCTTGGTACACAGCCCTGCTCCGGGTGCTGTTCCTCTGTGCACCCTCCCCTGGGCAGCATCGCTTCTGGGGTGGGTTTGGGGTTACTGCACTCAGTGAATTTTGCTGTCGTGCTGTCAAGTTGTTCCCTTGGTCGCTTAATTCCAGCACCAAAGGGGCCTCTGTGATTGTAAAGATGAGCACAGACATCAGTGTAACCCCCAGTGTGAAGCTCGTCCTCATTGCTCTCATGACTTCAGTTTCCTTTTGCAGCCCCGGAGGAGGGAAATGCTCTCAGTGTTTTGAAAACCATTAGGTAAGGCATTGAGGTGAGAATTGAATGTGGGCAGGGTTAGATGGAGCTTCTTATAATGAGAAGTATCTGTGGGATGTGTTAATGTAGCTTCAAGCCCCGACCAGAAGGGCACAGTAACCCTCCTTTGTGCCCACACAAGGACAGGATAAATATCACCAGGCTGTGTTTGCTTTGGAAGGGATAAACTGACCTTGTCTGCAAGCAAACCATTGGTTCTTACCTGAAGTTCAGGTCACTCGTTATTGAACATTGGGATTATTTAGGTGACTGCAAACACCTTTGCTGAGCCAGTAATTGAGGTTTGGAAATCGAACTTGGGTTTCATCTGATTGTCATGTTTTAATAGGCAATGCGAAATGGCAAGTGTGTGTGTGTGAGACAGCTCTCTCAGCTGTAACCTGCATCAGTGTTTCCAAACCTCAGGTTTGGAGATGGTTTGATGCTGAGGCTGTTTCCTTCAGATCCACGTAGTGTTGAAGCCCTAAAGGTTTAACGTTTGGGCTCCAGCCAGCCTGAGGGCTGCTCATCCGGTTGTAGCTTTGGCAAGGAGGTGGGGAGGAAGGGAAGAGGTTTCCGTTGTTTGAGTGGTCTCTGGGTGGGTTTTTGGCCTTGTCCAGTTTGCAGTGACTGTGGTGTCAAGAGAACTTGGTATCTTCTGTGTGCTTTGTGCTTCCCTGCACCAAGCTGGAAGGGCTTCAGGGAGCAGCTGGAATTCCAGCCCTGCTGTTGTGGCTTTGTAACACTTGGGCTCCTAGATCTGTAAGCACTTGGAGGTGCTTAGAACATTTCTTCAGATGTCTTGGGAAGGAAGAAAGTGGTCATTAGAAAAGCTGCTCTGCAGAGATGCGTGAAGGGGGCTTAGAAGGATGCTGGAGATGGGCTCTTTGCCAGGGACTGTAGCGATGGGACAAGGGGTGATGGGTTCAGACTGAAACAGGGGGAGTTCAGGTTAGATAAAAGGAAGAAGTTCTTTAGTGTGAGGGTGCTGAGGTGCTGGCACAGGGTGCCCAGAGAAGTGGTGAATGCTCCATCCCTTGTAGCGTTCAAGGCCAGATTGGATGACATGGTCTAGAGTGAGGCATCCCTGTCCATGGCAGGGGGGTTGGAAGTGGATGATCCTAAGGTCCTTTCCAACCCAAACGGTTCTGTGATTCAGTAGTACTCTGTAAATACACAACAGGGTGCTGCTGAATGAAAGGGTTGGGAATGGGTCTTAAATCTCAGCAGTTTGCTTAATTATTAGCTTATGATTCACACCGCTTTCTCCTTTCCCTTTTCCCGGCTGTAGGCCCTATGAGAAGAAGGGAAAGCTAAGGATGCTGGAGCAGAACAATGGATTTCTCTTTCTCTTTCATGCAAGGGATCATGGGAAACACAATTCAGCAACCACCTCAACTCATTGACTCCGCCAACATCCGCCAAGAGGACGCCTTCGATGGCAGCAGCGACATTGCTGAAGATGCTGGGCAGACGCCCTACGAGGCGGCGCTGCAGCAGGGCTTCCCTTACCCTGCACCCGCAGCCGAGGAGCTCCCCCCCCTCACCAACGGCTACCCCCCGACCATCAACATGTACGAGCCTCAAGCCAAATACCAGGCGTACCCCCAGTACCCCAATGGTTCAGCCAACGGGTTCGGTACCGTCAGGAACTTCAGCCCCCCCGAGTATTTCCAGCTGGACCACTCGAGCGCACGGCCGCACGATGCGGTGGAGAAACCTTCTCCTCCACAGCCACCGCCTCCACCACCACCACCACCACCACCACCTTCGGTCCCGGCGGCGGTGATTCCAAAGAAGACTGGCTCACCAGAGATCAAACTAAAAATAACCAAAACTATCCAGAACGGCAGGGAATTGTTTGAGTCCTCTCTCTGTGGGGACCTTTTAAATGAAGTACAAGCGAGTGAGTATGCTAAGGCGAAACATGAAGGGAGGAAAGAGAAAAGGAAAAAGAGTAGCAAGCATGACTCTTCCCGCTCGGAAGAGCGCAAGTCACACAAAATCCCCAAGTTAGAACCAGAGGAGCAAAATGTAAGTGGAATCAGAGTTTCAGCCGTCTGTATACCTGGTACTGTTGATGGAGTAATGCGTCTTGGGCACTGTTTCTCCTTACTCTTAGTTGTATTACCTCTGTAAAGCCATGGGGCTTTATTGTTAGATGCTCATCTTGCCAGAACCTGTATTTCTAGGACAGTTTTGGTTAAAAGGCTGTATATGACATAATGGATGCTAGAAAAGGTTGTATCGTGGGGTTTAAATCCTATTTAGTGTTTTAGCACGCTTGCTGTGCTTTGGGGAGCGGTGAAGGTGGAGCTTTGGGCCCAAAGCACACAGGCTGCTGGGTTACTCGCTGGAAGGAGCGTTCAGCATTGCAGCTTTGAATGAGTTTCTGAAAGGTAACTCTAAATGCCATGATTATGTATGAAACCCAATAGCTCTGAAGCATGTGTAGAAACCAGTGGGCAAAACAAATGCCAGTTGACTCGGTAAACTTGGAGAGGTTTCACTCTTGATACCTGTTACTGCAGTGTGGTTGCACAAGGGGTGTTGTCTGGAAGTGGTGGTTTAACTGATTCCAGGAAGCAAAGTCCTGGTACTCTCGGCCATTGTTTCCCTTTCAGTTTTAGAAGCCACTCCATTACTTGGGCTTCCTTTTGTCTTGTTTATTCCTGCCAATCTGGGATGCTGGATTCTGTATTTCCCAGTGGAGAGGGGTGTCAGGGATAGGGAAGTGCCATATCAGGCCATGCCAGCTCACAGAACTTGTATCACCCTGTGATAGCTGCTGCTTCTGGTAGGTGTGGGAACCCATCCTGGCCTATGGGGATCAAGGCTCTGATCTGCTTACAGCAGGGTCATGCACTTGATGTGGTGGTGGTGTTTTTAATGGAATGCATTCTGATTTCACACTCACACCACTGTTTGCAGCCTCTTCTCCCAAGTAACAAGGGATGGGACAAGAGGAAACGGCCTCAAGCTGCACTAGGGCAGGTTCAGACTGGATATGGGGAGAAATTCCTCCACCAAAAGGGTTGTCAAGCACCAGAACAGGCTGCCCAGGGCAGTGGTGGAGTCACCATCACTGGAGGCATTTAACACACGTGTAGATGTGGGGTGGGCTTAGCAGTGCTGGGTTCATGGTTGGACTTGATCTTAAGGGCCTTTTCCAAACTAAATGATTCTGAACTAAAGCCTTGTCCCTCAAATCCCAAGTTCCTACTCCTATGTGCCATGCAGGATTCACCAGAACTCTTAGTCTTGCTTTTGTCCCCCCTTGGAGCTTCCATTTCCCTTTCAGAAGGTGGTGTTGCAGCGAGATCTTTGATGTTACTCACCCTCGTTGCAGACACCAGATCACCGCCACGAGCAGGACTTTGTGCTGATGCTTTGCATTGCGAGTTACCCAGCACAGTCTCGGCTGCACCCTCCCACCTTTTGGCTCTCCAGTGTACAACTTCCCCTTCAGCATGCACACTTTTGTCATATTTAGTATTGATGAGATGAGACTTGTAACTTAGGATCATCTTAATGGGAGCAAAACCCAGCTTCAGGGACAACTTTGGTTGTTTTACCCTTCTCTACTCAGCATGGCTGTTCCCAGGTAAGGTTGTCTCCTCCTTCTGCCATTGACTGTGTGGGAATGCTCACACTTGAAAGGCTGATTTGAAATGAAAATGTTATGAAGACATTAATGGACTTCAAGCTCTGAATCCTTGTTTTAAGAACAAGCTCACTGGTGGTGTTCTGGGAGGAACTGAAGCTTGCAACTTGCGTGGGGGAAGCTTCCACTAGAGCAAGAAAGGCAGGGGTCACTGCTGTGCTTCCTGCTGCACCAGGGAGGAAGGAATTCTGCCTGGGGTACACTCATATGATTGCTTTTAACTGCTCCTTCTCTCCAGACAGCTCTGAATGAGGTGCTGACCATCATTACTGTAGATGATACTTGTGTTTCCTAGTTTCTCTGAGCTGAAGCATGCCGCTTCCACTAACCTGGGGGCTCTGTTTTCAATGGACTAGTCCTAACTGGGACTCCCAGTATAAGTGGTTTCTCACTGCCTGTGTCTGACTCCTCTTTTGGCTGCTCTTTGAGTCCTTTGACTATTGACAAAGCAAAAGTCAGCTCCCTGGCTCAGTAGATAGTTCATGTCCCACCTCTTTATCTTGCTCGGCCGTGGGTCACCACGCTCCCTATCACTGCTGCTCCACCAAGGTGTTGGCTTCCACTCACGGTGATCCCTCTTTCATCACGACCTTCTCCTGGTTGTGGGGTTTCCGTTGTTGACTTTTGATCCCACAAAGAACATTTGCCAACTCTGTGTGATTTACCGTGGATTTTACAGGTTTTGTGCTGTGTATTTCATGTGATTTTTGTACTGTAGCTGTTGCAAAGAGCTCGCAGCCCTGGGGGTATCCTCCATATGCTCGTCTCTTTCTTTGACATTGACTATTAATATAGGGGGGTTTACTGGCCCACAGTATGTTCTTCCATCACCTGTTATGGGGGTGTGTGGGTGTAATGTGAATAGTGTAGGAAGAAAGGTCATTTTTGATTGATGCTACTCTGGTTTGGGTTGGCCAGAAGGAGCCGTCGCGTTCCTGTTTGCTGGCTTCATGGCTGCCTTTCTCTCCGTGACTTACTGTTTTGGCCTGGTTTCATGATGAGCTTTGTGTGGTTTCCTGGCCCCTTACCTTGTTTGTGTTTGTTTCCCTTTTTCTCTTCGTTGTTACCCATTTCCTAGAGACCAAATGAGAGGCTTAGCATGCTGCCAGAAAGACCCAGAGAAGATGCAGTGTTGGAGGAGACCCCGGTTAGTACCTCCACTCATCACCGCTTCATCACCACTTCTCCAACTTCTATTTTGGGACTGATGACAGGCCTTTAATTTGTCAGATAAAGCAGTTGCTGTCTCTTTGAACCTCCTGTTAATCATGACTGCATCAAAACATCTCTCATCCTGTGCTTATTGCTTTATTTTATCCCCAAAACAACGTTCTTAATTGACTTCTGAAGCTTTTTGTGGGGTGGTGGCAGGGGGTTGCTGTGGGTGTCTTGGTTTGTCAGTGACTATCTCCTGCCTCAAAGGAATGGTTCTCTGCTGTTAGGTTATCAAACCTCAGGGATACCTAAGAGAAGGGTCCATGTTCCTGTGCTTCTTTGTGCATTGAGTTGTCTTCTGTGGCTTCAAGCTTGCCTTTTCTTTGTAGGTCCAGCAGTTCTTACCTTCTCTTCCAACACAAGGCCCCCATGACATCAAGTTTCAGGTTGGCGATCTGGTTTGGTCCAAGGTGGGAACATACCCGTGGTGGCCTTGCATGGTTTCGTGTGATCCGCAGCTTGATGTTCATACCAAAATCAATACAAGAGGTAAGGAAGGAGGGTCTTTGGCACAGCATAGCAGGTGTCTGTGGTTCCTTTATTCAAAACATCTTGAGCTCCTGTGTGGGATGAGTTCTGCTGTGTGCATGCTGAGCTGAATATACTTGAGATGGCTAAAGCTGGAATCTGTTGGATTACTTCTGCAGGTGAGCCTGTGCAAACTAGGCTTGTGCAGAGCTATTCTTGTTTTTCACTAGGCAATGTATTTATGAGGAGACACTGAGGAGTGTGAGAGTGTTCAGTGTGGGCAAGATACGCTTCACATCTTAAACTGTTCTACATCTGGGCTTATCTTACTTCTAAACTTCAGCCAGGTGCTTCCACCTGCAGGCATGAGTGATGTGGAGAAGGAAGGCATAAGCGAACAGTTCTTACTACAAGAGGGACACTGAGGTGCTTTAGCAGGGCCAGAGAAGGGCACCGGAGCTGGTGCAGGGTCTGGAGCACAGGGGTGATGGGGAACAGCTGAGGAACCTGGGGGGGTTCAGTCGGGAGAAGAGAAGGCTCAGGGGGGACCTGATCGCTCCCTGCAACTGCCTGACAGGAGGATGGAGCAAGGAGGGGCTGGGCTCTGCTCCCAAGGGATGGGACAAGAGGAAACGGCCTCAAGCTGCCCCAGGGCAGGTTTAGATGGAGCTGAGGAACAATTCCTTCCCCAGAGGATGCTCAGGCATTGGAACAGGCTGCCCAGGGCAGGGCTGCAGGCACCGTCCCTGCAGGTGTTCACACACCCTCAGTGCCACGGGTGAGTGGTGGCCTTGGCAGTGCTGGGGAGCAGTTGGACTTGATTTAAAGCTCTTTTCCAACCTGTTTCATTCTGTGATGGTGCTAAAAGCGCTGACAAGCATTTCTCATTCCCAGGTGCCCGGGAATACCACGTCCAGTTCTTCAGCAACCAGCCGGAGCGGGCGTGGGTGCACGAGAAGCGGGTTCGGGAGTACAAAGGCCACAAGCAGTATGAGCAGTTACTGGCTGAGGCTGCTAAACAGGCCAGCAACCACTCCGAGAAGCAGAAGGTACGATGAGCATCCTTTGTGCAGAGGGTTACCTGCAGTGTCTGTTAGGGAAACCCCTGTGGGGCAGTCACTGTATAGGCAAGGCAGAAAATTGATGTGGAAGGAGAAGAGCGTTTGTAGGGAAATAAGGAGGATTTAAAAGTAGATAAATGAGGATTAATTCTGTCTCGTCTAACAGGCTTGAATACTGCCTGTTCTTTAGTGAAGCTGTAACTTGGGGCAAGCACTTTTAATTGGGATGATCATAACGATCCAGCTCGAGTGTCTGTACTCTGAGCAGGGGATTCACTGTCTACCTTTATACCCTCTAAATGAAAAGCGAACTTACAGCTGCTACCTGAGGGGTGTGGAGAACCTCAGGACTGCATTTTAAGTGCTGTCTGTGGCCCAGTCTTCAGCGTAATGAGCTGCTTGTCTTTGTTCCTTAAGATTCGCAAACCAAGGCCGCAAAGGGAGCGTGCTCAGTGGGATATTGGGATTGCCCATGCTGAGAAAGCCTTGAAAATGACTCGGGAAGAAAGGATAGAACAATACACCTTCATTTATATAGACAAAGAGCCAGAGGAGGCTTTGTCAAAAGCCAAAAAGACTGCTGCTGCTAAATCAGAGACCAAGAAGAACCGGCGACCCAAGCCAGCGCTGAGCACCCAGCCTGACCCTGCCACTGGGGCAGCAGCATCGCCTTCGAGCGCTGAGGGGCGGAGGCAAAGCCAGCGGAGGCAGTCGAGTATGGAGGAAGAGGAGGCTCCTCCAGTGAAAATCGCCTGGAAAACAGCTGCAGCCAGGAAATCCTTACCAGCTTCCATCACCATGCACAACCTGGACCTCCAAAAGTGTAACATGTCTCCAGTTGTTAAAATTGAACAGGTTTTTGCCCTTCAGAATGCTGCTGGGGATGGAAAGCTCATCGATCAGTTTGTTTATTCCACTAAGGTATGTACTTTGGGTAGCAACTCCTCTTCTGTTTGTGAATGACCCCGAGTCTGTCTCATTGTGGAGCTTAAACCTCAAAGGTTTCGCTGTACATGTTCCTTTCATTGGAGGGGTTACATCTGGCAACAGATGTGACAACAGCATCTCGTGGTGCATGAACTCTTCATTCCAGTGCATCCAAACGTTGCTGGGAGTAACTGTTCCGGCCAGTGGCAGCTCCCTACAGATGGTCACATCTTTGCTCATAACACCTTCAAAAGCTGTGGAACTCCAGTAATTCTCTATAAACCTTAAACCAGTGGATATGTGGGAAACAAAACTGTTCATAATGTACTAAAAAGAGCAATAACTATGTTTTGTATAACTGACTTCTAAATGAGTTCTGCCTCCTGGATTCCTTCAGGTGCACAGCAGCTTCTCACAGTCAGTGTAAGGAAAAGGTTTAGGACTGTTTCTCTGCCTCCTTCTTCTGCCTCTCTCCCTGGAGGGTATTTATTTCATCCTAAGCATTACAGAGAAGGTAATGTTTAGAAAAGTCGCTGGATTCTTTGTTTTGTTCTCTTGTATGGAAGGGGAGATTGAGGGATGGAAGCTCTGCAGGGAAAGCAGCTCAGTGGTAGACACAGTCACGTGTATGGGTTGAAAACACCCATACACGTTCTGAGACTTAGGAGTGGGTCAGTGTGCCTGTGAGCAGCAGCAAGTGCAGAAATGGGCTGAGACGATCTCTTCTCTGCTTTCTCTTTTCAAGGGAGTTGGGAACAAACCTGAAATAAGTGTCAAGGGGCAAGAGAAGCTGAACTCTTCATCAGGTCAGAGAAATGAGAAAGCAGCGGTGCAGAGCGCGTCCTCTCCTGAAACGACTTCGGGCTCCACAGGTAGGCAGAGCTGCAGCATCCTCGAGCACTCTTATTATGTCGGTTCAAACAGCGACCCTGGCATTTCACAGGAGTTAATAATGATTATTAACATCTCTCTGTTTAATAGTTGTGACAGGCGTGGCTGATGCAGCACACAGGGAGCCCAGGTGATCCCAGAAAACACGGGATGCCGCTGGGGTGGGATTCACTGGGATTTGAACTTCTGGTGTCCGCAGCTCACGGTCAACTATTTAGGGGGATGGATGCCTTGCGGAGGTGGTTTAGAAGACAATGTAGTGGCTGTGTGTGAACGGAGTGTTGTGATGGCTTTTTGGCACCAAATGGGACATTACAGCAGCTGGGATCAAAGGAGGAGACTCTGGAAGTGGTGTAGTTGAGTAAGGACGGCTCCGAAGCGGGATGGGGACGTTGCTAGACTTTGAGTTCCTGCCTCTGTAAAGGAAAGTGACTGTTTTAAACTGCTTCAGCTAACTCCATCAGCAAAATGAGATGATCTTTGCCTTGTGAAGGCGGTTAGGGGCCCAGCATAAAGCACCAAGTCATGTCTGAGGGCGAGCCACCCCTGAAGCTGATAATGGAGCTTGAGACTGAAAAGGGAACGCCTGGAACAAGCTATTTGAAGTTTAATTTGTAGTACGGTGGTGGAGAAGAAGGGGAAAGATAAATGGGATGAGTGCTCTCTGGGCTTGGAACAGGAAACCAGTGTTTTTAATGTTTGATCTTGAGCAATAGCTAATGGGAATGCTTCCAAAGGGATTGAGCTTTTCCCTACCAGCAGACATTTGTCTGCAGTGTCCTCTCATCATCCCCGTGAGGAGCTGGATGCCCTTTGGTGAAGGGATGGAGGTTCCTCAAAAGACACTGTTTCGAGTCATCTTAAACCAAGAGCTTTTCAAGTTCCTCCAGTCTTTACAGTGACTTCTGTTTTCCAACCGCAGATGTTGTCCGGGCCGTGTGAAATCCCCATTAACTACTGCACCTTTGGTACCGAGCTTGCAATCCTGTGCTTGCTATAGCCTCAGACACGCTTAGTTTTACTTTGGGTGTGGAAAAGTAAAGTTGAGGTTGCAGCAGAACACTGGGGTTTTCTCTCATCTCATAGAATGTACGGATGCTCCTGGGGTGGAAGCAGAAAAAGGTGGAAAACTTCTTAGAATACACAGAAAACCCCGCAAACCTTTTCCTCTTGACCTTTGCCAAGCATCAGCTCTGCTTTATCCATTTGTTTGGTTACTTCTCCTTTCCCAAACAGAACGTAAATGAGATTCCAAGCCAGAAACCTCAGCGATCAATGTAAGTGAGGTCCCTGGCCTCTGCCACCACGCTTCAGTGTCTGTACTTGTACAGCGTTAGGTAGGCTGGAAAGCTTAGTTACAAAGATGCTCCTGAGGCCTAAAAATGCTCATCCCATTGAGCAAGGTGAATTTTCATGGTTTTTTTTTCCTAAAGGCTTCTTGCAGCATCTGTTTTAAAGCCTCTCTCTCTAGAGCGTGCATCTCCTAACAAGAAGACGCAGGGTTACAACCTCTAACAGGGTATCTGTCAGCACAGGGAGCTAATTCCCAGCCCCAGGAGTTTGTGGTTTTGTTTGGAAGGACACAAAGTATTGTCCATTCACGTCTTCTTTAGGTGAAACACCCAAACTGAAAGCCCAGGTCATGCTACCCAGCAGATCACTGTAGATCTTCAGATCCCAGTTTTCCATCAGTGCAGCTCTGAGCCTGTGCTTGGTTCTATGCTGTGTCCATGTTTCTCTGTGTACCCTTTGTGGAGATCCTGTAGCATAGAAAGGTCTTCTGGTTTCACCAAGCTTAGTAGCTCCTACTCCATCTCTTGAGCTATGCCGTTAATCTGAGCTTGATTCCTGTAGCAGTATCTCCAAAGACTTGGTTTGTACTTTAATGATGATACCACGCCATGATCACTGCTTCTGCTTGTGCTGAGCTTTCCCTCACCCCTCAGTCTTTAGCTGAGCCTTCAGGTCTCATTGACAGCACATGTTACAGCGTGGTTCTTGCTTCCTGTTCTTGTGCCAGCCAGCGGAGCAGTTGCACAGAGCTGGAGCTGGGCTTTGCATCTTCACTTTGGAGCTCGGTTCAGCTCAAGAAGTTGGGTGGTGAGACCTTCCCATCAACACCAAACATGGACCATTTGGTTACAGATAAGCCAAAGCAAAGACTGTGCTGGAGGTGCTGTTTGCCCCCAGCTGATTCCAGCTTTTTGTTTCGCTCTGTTACTGGTGTCTCTTCTCGGAAGCTCATCTCCCTGTCTCTGGAATCGGAAGGTGTTGTCTGCAGCCACAGCACCAGCTGGCAAAGAGCTTGGAACTGAATGTAAAAATAAAGCCTTCAAAAGAGGAACAAGTCTTGGTTTCGTTACTTTCTCGGTTGGGTTGGTGTGGAGCAGCTCGCTGTGCCTCGGGAATGCAAGGAGTTGTGTAATGGAGACCTTTTTCCTTCTTCAGGTTCTGTAGAAAAGAAGCAACAGAGAAGATCGATTCGAACCCGCTCAGAGTCTGAGAAATCCACCGAAGTTGTGCCAAAGAAGAAGATCAAAAAGGAGCAGGTTGGCTTCCTCCATGTAGAGAGTTAAAATATATTGTATTCATAAATGTTGTGGCTTATATTGGTGCCTTTTCATTTTTCTCCATTTTTCCCCCATCGGGTTTCGTTTTGGACTATCCTCCATGAAATCCCCTTGTCAATACCATTGCTGTGACTCTGCTACTGGCATCTTACAGTATCAGTCAGGCTATGGAAATGGGAACTCACTGATGCAAGACTCCTAAGAACCTGCCATGTTTCCTTTGCGATTCCTGTCCTGAGCAAAAAATGGTTTGGTTTCAGTAATTTCTCTTTGATGGAATTGCCACCAGGTTCCTTCTTTTTGCTCTCGGTTCAGCTGCTGGTTTGTATTGAGGTTTTGTTTTTCCAATGAAGTTAGCCTGATTTAATCTGATCGCTTTTGAGAATGGACTCTTAGGAATGATTTCACTTAACAGATGAATAGTCAGACTTTTCATGTTGGCAGACATCAGCAAAACACATCTCCTGGGATATACGTTTCCTTTCCTTAAGTAGATCTCACATGTACAGGGCATTCCTTTAATCCGGATGTCAGACAGACAAATGTTGTTGCTTTCAAAACTACCATACAATTCTGCCTGGAATGAGCAGGGAAGTTCAGTGGATGGACGTTGCTCTTAAAACCAGAACACCCGTTTCAAACACGTTGCTCAAAGTTGTTGGTTCTTTTCCTTCCGTGGTTGATTCTCCTTCTCCAAGGGCCTCTCCGCTTGAAACCTGGGAATTTGGGATCCAGCTGTTTGATAGTAGAACTTTTATCAGTGAGACCTTTACAAAAGGGACAGTCAGGCTAAAGATTTATATGGGAAGGGGGGGGGAAATGATCTTTATCTCTTTAATTTATTCTTTGCCCTTTGTTTTGCACTTCATTCACTTCCAAGATTGAAAGTGGACCCAGTTTTTCCTCTCTTTTTCCATACGTTCTTTTGGTGCCATAGCGCTTCCCATCTGTGTTCAGCAGAAGAATGCTCCAGCTCGAGACAGTTTCTAGCTGAAACTTGGAAGCAGCTTCACCGTTGGGCATGAGACACCCAGCGTAGCCCCATGAGCCTCCTAGGGGGGTGCCTCGGCCTCCCTCCCATCACATGAGTTTTTATGTGTGTAAGCGTTTCTTAAGTTAACAAAGGTAGAAGAACCAACAATATGAACTTCATGGGTCCCCGTTAGCTCGGTGTGCTCCTCTTCCCCAGCTAACTAAGACTATGACCATTAAAGTGCTTTTCTCAGGAAAAGTATATGACTAAAAGTTAAACCCAGATGCACTGTAATGCGCATAACTTTGAATGTATTAAGTTATATTAAAGAAAGAAGAAAGACCTTACTAACTTCTTACAGTTCTGCAACAATATTTGTTACCCAAAGTCAAGTTTCCTTGCAACTGATTCCCAAATTAGTCTGCAACAACTTGGTATAAAATTATAACTGGAACGAGTACAATTAATGGGAAAAACCAAATGTTCATGCTACTGTTACAGTGACCAGTGGAGAAATAAAAGTGATTGTTTAGATTTTATATTTGTATTCCGAAATGTATCCGATACAAATCCTTCTATTGTATGTTTTTACCTTTTATTGTACAACAAAATAAAATATTTTTTAAAAAAAGTAGAGGATAATCCTTAACTATTTCCGAAATGTCTTCCTCCCTGCCCACGTAACCCCAGTGTAAAGCAGTAACCTCTAATTCTTAACCTTAAAACCAGGCTTTTAGGCAACAGCTTTCTTCTATAGGTACGATGCAGTCGCCAAATTCTCTCCGTGCTCCATGTTCATTGGCAGAACAGTTTGGAAAGGGGCCCTTCTGCTCTAGGCTCAGAGCTCCAAGTGCTTTGTGAGGTTGTAAACTACGGAGCGGATGCTGGCATTGAGCTGTATAGAGCCCTGCACAGCGCCCTGCGCCTTGGGCTGGACCTTGCAGTGCTCTATACAGGGCAGGAGTCTGCTCCGGAGCGTGCAGGCTTGCTGGAAGCACCCCAAGATGATGCATTCAGTGCCTCCCTAACCCAGTGAATGCCCATTGAGGGGAACTTGCGCTCACACAGGTCTGGGGTTCTACAGAGCATCAGGGTTTGCTGCCAACAGGAGCCCCGTCCCCACCGCGGACACGGATAAAGCTCTCCTGTCATCTTCATGCCCCAAGGGAGTGATTGGAAAGGCCCTTGCTAGTGACTGTGTCTCTGCCTTGTCTCCCAGCACTCAGCGTAGACAGCTAGGATTAAAGCCAACGGGACGAGAAGGCTCCCAGTGGGAAGGGGATGGCAGCCTGCACCTGAGTTCAGAGATGCTAATCGCTTAAACTGCAATGTTTTCTTTTTGATACTAGGGAGAAAAATTCCTCTGGTTTTAACTCTGGATTTTCCTATTCAAACAGGTTGAAATGGTTCCCCTGACAGCAGTGAAGACAGGATTGCAGAAAGGTGAGTGACAGCCGAAAAAGAAACTCTGTTTACACCTCTGGCTCCATCCCACTTGGGCAGTGGGTTTTTGCTCTCTGTAAAGCGCAGAGGTTGGAATGCTTTGTGGTGATGAACTGATGGATGCTGAGCTCTGTTCTCTTGTGAGGGTTTGCTGGGTTGGTTTTTGTTGCGTGTTGCTAGCTGGAAGGATGGTGTTAATGTGGTGTGAGCCCATAATTCAAGTACTTAAGAAGAAGTCATCTTTGCTGAGCTGCATTTGAAAGCTGAACAATGAAGAGGAAGGGTTTATCCTCTGTCATAGACAATGTAGTAGTTGCTCTGCTGAGTCAGCATGTTCAGAAGCTTATCAAAAGGTCTAAGGAGGTTTTCAGTTGTTAGCTCTTCAGGGAGAACCAAAGTACTATCACAATTAAGGCTGCGAATGAAGTCCAAATCCAAGCTTTCATCTTTCCTTTTCCTTTATGAAGCTTAAGAACACAGATTAAAGCTAATCTCAGTGTGTTGTGTTAAGGTGCCAGCGAGATTTCAGATTCTTGCAAGCCTTTGAAGAAGAGGAGTCGAGCCTCAACCGACGTGGAACTGACCAGCTCTGCTTACAGGGACACGTCTGACTCCGACTCCAGGGGACTCAATGACTTACAGGTAAATGCACGTTGTTGCTCATAGGGATTTGCTCATTTCATCTCTCTGCCAGGCGTTTTGGTTGTGTATTCCTGGAGGTATGAACACCATTTTCTACTCCTTTCATGTCTCTGATTGACTGAAATATAAAGCATGTTCTTTTTCTTTCTAATCCCCTCCATTGCGTTGATGTAAAGGAAGATAGAATCTGTCTTTACAAGTGTTCCTGTTTCTTTGGCAAAGCATGGGGTTAGATCACTGCTTCGGCTTGCTTTTGGGAAGGTTTTGGGATTCTTTGGGGATGCTGATGGTCTGTGGCATAAAACTGGGAAAAGTAGGACCCCCAATACCTTTATGGTTGGTTGTACAGGTAAAAGCAATGCCAAGAAGGCAGCGCTGCTTGGGTCGCTCCCATGAAGTTCAGCAGTGTTGAGGGACCTTTTGCATCTCTTGGTGTATTGAACGGTCTTTTTAATCTGTGGTGACTTAAATGCTCTTTCACAATGGGCTTGTCCTTGGGAAGTGTCTTTTTGAGTGCCTGGGGTTTCTCCTCTCTCTAGGGTAGTTTTGGAAAGCGTTCGGACAGCCCCTCAGCTACTGCGGATGCTGATGCCTCTGATGTGCAGTCAGTGGACTCCAGCCTGTCCAGGAGAGGGACTGGGACAAACAAAAAGGACACTGTTTGTCAGGTAAATGATGGAACTGTAAAGAGCTGATGTACCAAAGCTCTATCATCTGTTTCTGTTGGTTTGAGCTGATAAGACTTCACATTACACCACTTTGTTTTAACCATGTCACATAACTCCGTGTCTCAGATAAAATATCAAGGCTTTTAGGAGTTTTCGTAAGAGGCTAAAAGGCTCAAAAGCTGGAAAGTGCTCTCCAGCCCATTCCTGTAGCATAACTAGATGCCATTTTCTGCCCTATGGTCTTTCCAGGCTGGGACAGAGTGAGAATTTTCCAGTATTTGGGGAGAAAATCCTGGAATCTCCTGGCCAGTTTCCCGGTCACTTGTAAGGGAGAAGCTGTTCTTGCTGCTCAGGTGCCTGGGGGCTCCTGCTCTGTCCCTCCTAGCTCTGTCCATGCTCATGCTGCTACAAGAGGAGGATGCAGCAAGTGCTGGTGTTGCCTTCAGCCCAATTTGGCCACGTCTTTGTAGGGTGCAGAGCAGTTCTCCCACCTCACCTTAGCTCAGAGGGACTTCAGCCTCTTCCTACTCTTTGTTAAGCCCTGGTAGTCTTACATGGAAGACCTGCTGTTCTCTGCTGAGCTGCTTGTCTGCTTGTTCCAGATCTGTGAGAGCTCCGGCGAGGCTCTGGTGTCCTGCGAGGGCGAGTGTTGCAGTGTCTTCCACATGGAATGTCTTGGCCTGAAGTCGATGCCTGAGGAGAAGTTCATCTGCGCTGAGTGTAAAAATGGTGAGTGTTTGCCCATGGTTGGGAAGTGGGGAGGGAGCTCCCTCTGCTAAGGAGCTGTTCTAGGGTCGGAGATACCAGAGTTGGTGAGTTCCATGGGTTTGGAGGGGGTTTGGTTGGGTTATTCTAATGGGCTCTTTACTGTGAGGGTGCTGAGGCGCTGGCAGTGGTAAATGCTCCATCCCTGGCAGTGTTCAAGGCCAAGCTGGGTGATATGGCCTAGTGTGAGGCATCCCTGACCATGGCAGGGGGTTGGAACTGGATGATCTTAAGCTCCTTTCCAACCCAAACCATTCTATGGTTCTATGATCCTACCTTTTCAACCTCTGAGGCCAGATTCTCCTTTTCCAGCTGGGAAGAAGAAAAGGCAAGTACCTGGTGAGGGAAAAGAACTGCTTAAGAGTTTTACTCAGAATGAGGGACTTCTATGTTAATAATTTCATCTTTATGTTAGCAGTTGCATCTTTATGTTAGCAGTTGCATCTTTACGTTAGCAGTTGCATCTTTACGTTAGCAGTTGCATCTTTATGTTAGCAGTTGCATCTTTATGTTAGCAGTTGCATCTTTATGTTAGCAGTTGCATCTTTACGTTAGCAGTTGCATCTTTATGTTAGCAGTTGCATCTTTACGTTAGCAGTTGCATCTTTACGTTAGCAGTTGCATCTTTACGTTAGCAGTTGCATCTTTATGTTAGCAGTTGCATCTTTACGTTAGCAGTTGCATCTTTACGTTAGCAGTTGCATCTTTACGTTAGCAGTTGCATCTTTACGTTAGCAGTTGCATCTTTACGTTAGCAGTTGCATCTTTACGTTAGCAGTTGCATCTTTACGTTAGCAGTTGCATCTTTATGTTAGCAGTTGCATCTTTATGTTAGCAGTTGCATCTTTATGTTAGCAGTTGCATCTTTATGTTAGCAGTTGCATCTTTATGTTAGCAGTTGCATCTTTATGTTAGCAATCGCATCTTTACTGTGGATTAGGGCAACTCCAGGGTTTGAAGGGAAGGAGCCCGTGTTGCTCAAACCACTGTTCACAACATCTGTACGGCAAAGAATTGCCCGTTGCAGTTGGGATTGTTCCTTATTCCTTCTCTTCCCAGGAGAACACACGTGCTTCTCCTGCAAGCTCCCTGGCAAGGACGTGAAGCGCTGCTCGGTCAACACGTGTGGCAAGTTCTACCACGAGGCCTGCGTTCGGAAGTTTGCCACGGCTCTCTTTGAGTCCCGGGGCTTCCGCTGCCCGCAGCACTGCTGCACCGCCTGCTCCATGGATAAGGATATTCATAAAGCAAGCAAAGGTGAGAGGGGAAGTGGCTTTGAGCTGCGGGAGGAAGCTCGGACGCATCGTGGTAAAGATGGATGTGACTTTACCCTTAGGAATGCAGTGAGGAGTGAGGGTTTCCTTCTTAACATCAGGCTGGCTGGGTGGGAAAGCAGCTCAAGTGGACCCGGATCTGCAGCCCAAGTCATCTGCTGTTGCTGGGTTCAATGGAAGTGGAGGGTTGGTAGTGCAATGCTGTTTGTTAGAACATGCTTGGGAGTGGCTTTTAGAACAACTCATCTTCCAGAGACAGAGAATCCTTGTAGAAATTAACCCCAAATACTTCAAAACAGGCTCTAGAATGACTAAAACCATGTGTTTTTTTCTTAACAGAGATTTAAAGTTGAGTTAACTTTGTGAAGCTTTTAAAGATGTAAATGTTTCCTTTCAATCCAGTCCTTCTGGGTGGAATCAAATCAGCCTTGCAGCTGTCTGGTGTCTTCTGCCATAGCCTGACTCGAGGGTGACACGGTGCATTTCTCTGTATTAAACAGGTCGCATGGTGAGATGTTTCAGATGTCCCATTGCCTATCACTCAGGAGATGGCTGTATTGCTGCAGGAAGCTTGTTTGTGTCATCCCACATTCTCATCTGTAGTAACCATTCCAAAAGGAATCACTCCTCATCAGCTGTAAATGTAGGCTTTTGTTTCGTTTGTGCAAGAGGTGAGCACACTTGTTTTCTTTCCCCTCCCCTGTTTTATAGTTTTGTGGTCACTTTGGGCAGTTTAGTGATGAAAAGAATGTGTTTCCTAAAGCCCCCTTCCCACAGGATGCTCTGGGGTTCCAGTGCTGCCTGGAATTGTCTCTTTGTTGCTCAGCACTTCTCATGAGCCTTCACTTGCTGATATTTGCTGGTCAGAAGCAGTGGGAGCTCCTCAGGAGCCTGCTTGTTTTGCCAGTAGGAAAGAGTGGATGGGAAGCCCCCAGTTGCAGCCATTGCATGCTGAGGATGGATGCTGTGTGGTCACTCACTGTCTGTTGGGCAAAAGGGGGTCCTTTTACCACTCCCAAACTGAAACCCGTTTAAATTAAGGCTATAAGGTAGGGTTTCCTCATGCTAGAACAAAAATCATCTCAGTTTATAACTTACCATCACATTTGAGCACTCTGAAAGGAGAACATTTGCAGCGCTGCATGAGCAGGTTTCATGCTAGAGTTTTCCATATGCCAAAATTCTCTTTTTTTTTTTATTTGACTTTTCTTTTTCCCTTTTTTCCTCTTTATTTTTGACCCACTTGTTACTTCCATGGCTCTGAAGTCACCACTCTTCTGCAGGGAGCAGGTTGAGAGGTTTGAATTGCAATGGCTCCTGTACAGTACTGCAGGGGTTTGTTGGCTGCGTTCTTCTCAGCAGCTTTGAAAAGTCACTGATAAGGAAGTGAAAAGGAGATGGATCCTGAAGATCCTGGGTTTCACTTGTGTTCAGTCACTTGGAGGGTTAGGATGGGACAGAGTGCCTTGAGTTTGCAAGAGCAGATAGTAATGGAGATCTCTGGATCGGAAGGAAAAGGTGGTGCCAGAATAATTCCCTTTCTCCCTCCTTTCTTCCCCTTTCCTCATTTCCAAGTAATTTAGGAGCCATTATTTTAAATATATCTGAATAATCCAGAAGCTAAGAGAGAAACAGGAAGTTACAGAATGAGGAAAAGCTCCTCTGAATGTATAAAAGGATGGTGACAACACAGTTCAGTATTCCTCCTTTTGTGGGCTTATTCAAACATCTGGGGCTCACCCCAAAGCAGGATGTGCAGGAATGGGAATCGCCCCAGCACTGCATAAAGGTACACGTGCAGAGTTGATGGTGCGTCTGTCTTTATGGCCTTTGGTTTTAGGTTTGAGGTAGCTTTATATCTGGTGTGTGTTTAACTTTGGTTGGTGGTATTGTTACACCTACAAAATGCCCAGGCTGAATCACTGTCTGGAGTCAGTGTGGTACCAGGATCAGATATAGGTTTATGACAGAAGACTTTCTGTGCCCGGTTTGAATATCAGCTTAGAAATGTCTCTTGGCAAGGTCCAGCATGGCTTTAGTCTGCCCCTGGCAGTATGAACAGGGGGGTGATGTCTTGTCCTGCTGCTCTGCTCCTACACCAGGTAGGTCGTGGGGTCTCGGCTGACGTGGGTGTCGCTGGTCTCAGTTATGAAGCTCTGTTAGCACCAAGGTGTGAATGCAGAGCAATGGCAGGCTTCTGCCACTGGGCTTAGCATAAATAGTGTGTTTTCTACCAATTTCAAAGCACTGTGAAGCTGTAGTACCAAAATCCATTGCATGATACTAACCAGCTAAATACATCTCTTTGAGGTTGTGCTTTATTACATCTACTAGAGATGCCAGAAGCCAACTTGAGATCCAAACTCTAAAGAGGAACCTGCTTAGGTTATACATCTGCAGTACTTTGTTACAGATACATCTGAAGGGGGAATCTTCTGGGGGACTTTTGCTCCAAGTTTTGGCTGCTTACTCTGTGACACAAAGGTGTAAAATCAGTGCCTCCTACTTCTCTTCAGTAGAACCTATTGAAAAGCTTTATGGAGTACCTGCTGTTTGGCCACCTTAGATAGATAGATAGATAGATATAGATAGATATCTGACTCAGGAATCAGAATGCAGGAGTAGAATTCCAAAGCTCAGGTACAGTAAAGGAGTCTTACACTTGCTGAAGATGCAGACCTAGGTTTATTCTGAAGAATAACTCAAGTGCAGAAGAATGCTCATGCTTTCTTCTTCATTTTCTCTTTCATTTACCATTGCTTCAGTGGTTCTGTTCATCCCTGAGCCTGCCTTCATCAGAGCTGAAACCACACAAATCTCTTTTCTCCTGGCAGTAGAAGTGACCTCTGATCCCCAGCAGGTGGAATTTCCTGCCCTGTGTCTTCACCCAATCTTAGTTACTAGAGCTTGAAAAGTGACAAATCACTGCCACTGACTGAATCCTCTATTTTATAGCAACTCCCTACCTGTTCTTCTAGAACATTCTATGAGGTTTGTTACTGTCCTGAGCTGGGCTCAGGAGCCAGTGTGCTTTGCCCAAGAAAGACTGGGGGAGGTTTACATGTAGCAAGCCCCCTTTGTGGGTTGAGTTGGGTCCTGTCTAGTCAGATGTGGTCAGCGTGAGGGCAGGAGCTCAGAAAGGCATGAGGGGTGCAGTGCCTTAGAAACACTTGGGCATCTCTATGGAAGAATGATGGTTTAATTAGCTTTGGTTGATATCTGAAGGAGGTTTAAGTGTTACTGAAGTGAGGGGATCTACACCATACACAAACTTATCACAAGGTACTTGAAATGTGATGTATCTTGAGAATGCTTCTTCCCCTTTCCTCAGCTAGCCTTTGTTGAGCACATCCTAGTTCACCTGATGGCATGTGTGGGTCAGGCTTGTTTGGGACTCCTCCTATGGATGTGTTCCAGGTAGGCTGATGCCATTCTCCCCTCCAGCAGTTTTTAGGCACCCCAATCCCAAAGCTTCTCTACATCACCCAGCCCTGGTGCATCCCACAAAGGGAAGAACCAGTGGCTTGGCTCAGTAGCTCGTCTTTCCTGCTTCTTTGGCAATCAGTGCCTCTGCTCTTCCCATGAATTACTGGCCAAGTGCTTCTGGTCTGTAGCTGAGGGCTCTGCAGAAGGATGAGGAGAAGCCCTTCTTGATGGAGGAAGGCAGAAATGCAGCACATAATTTGAAGCACAGGCACAGAGGAGAGGGCAGGGTCAGTGGAGCTTCACTCCCAAGCAGCCGGCGTAAGGCAGAACTTCGTCCCTTCTTTCCCTTCTGGTGCCTTCCAGCATCACTGCCTCCCCTTGTTAGTTTTCTCCAACAACGATGAAGGCAAAACACTCTCATAGGTAATAAGAGGTAGGTTTGTAATAGGTGGGATGGTGAGTTCTTGGCTTCTTGCTTTCCCTGCTTGTAGCCCCAGGTAACAACCTGACCTTAGGTGCGGTGTCCGTCACCCTCAGCTTGCTTTGATCCCTAGGGAGGGAGGGTGGATCCCACACCTTTACAGCCAGTGCTTTTCTTGTGCTTGTCTCCTAGTGCACAAGGGAAGGGTTGAAATCCCACTTAAGAGCAGCTTATTCCTCCTGAGTTTCCCCAGTTCAGTTGAATTCAGTCTCTGGAACACACAAACCTCTTCCTTAGCAAGGCAGCTTTCTGTCAGCCTTTTCTTTTTTCTCCATTTCCTCTTTTGTTCATTCCCCCATTATATGCATTAGAGGTGTTCATTTGCTTGGTTTTATTTTCTCCTTTATGGAATCATGGGTAGTTTCATTGCAACTCATCTCTTTCTGTTTGTTTCGTATAGGGCTGGTAGTGCAGGATCATTCAGACCCCCTGTTCAGTTCATATGCCTATAAGTCCCACTACCTACTGAATGAGTCAAATCGTGCTGAGTTGATGAAATTACCTATGATTCCTCCTCCTTCGTCAGCTTCCAAAAAGAAATGTGAGAAAGGTAACCAAAATAGTTTCTTTCTCTTTAATTTTCTTTTGCTTTTTCCTATTATTTCTCTCCCAACTCCACCCGAGGAATGTCTGCTTGTCAAGCACCACTTATTGCTTTCCAGTGAACTTCACTCATTGATTATTGTGAGCCTGTGTTCATGTTGTTGGCCATTTTGATTTCGTTTTTGATTCCAAAAGGGCTTAAAATAATTGCTGTCACTAAATTCTCCTTGGAAGAGGGACAATCCCTTTCTATCTGCCCTAGGCTGCTCCAGCTTGCAGGGAGCTGTTGACACTGAATGTGAACGGGAGGCAAATGGAGCTTGATGTTGTGGCAGTTCAGTGCTTACCCAGGATGATGAGAAACAGCTTCTTAAATTGGTTTTAGGTATGGAAGAAGAGGAGGGGTGTTCTGTTTCCGACCTTCCAGGTCGCTTGTGCAGAGCCTGAGGGAAGAAAGGGGCTTTCAGGTGGAATGAGGGTGGGAACCGTGGCTGGAGGATGGCCCAAGTTGGAGTTAGTGAGGTTTTGCCTGTGCATGTGTCCATTCACCCCTGGGCTTCATATCCCACCTCTGCTACACTGGGACCACCGGTGCTCCTTCCCCTCCCTCAGGATGGGTGCTTGATCCCTGAAGTGAATCATAGGATCGTGGAATGGTTTGGGTTGGAAAGGACCTTGTCCTGTCCCTATATCCCTTACATCCCAAAGCCCCTCTCCAGCTTTCCTGCAGCTCCTTCAGGCACTGGAGCTGCTCTCAGGTCTCCCCTTAAGGAGCCTTCTCTTCTCCAGGCTGCCCCAGCCCAGCTCTCTCAGCCTGGCTCCAGAGCAGAGCTGCTCCGTGGCCTCCTTTGGCCTCACTCCAACAGCTCCACATCCCTCTTGGATACCTCATGGAGACGCTGGGGCATCCTGGAGCACCTCTGCGAGCACAACTCTTGTCTGGATGAAACAGATGCAATACTTTATTCCCCATAGAAGTTGGGTTCCCTGAGGGTGTTCAGACTTGGTGCCCCATTACCCACGCTGCAGCTAGGTTATTTCAGACACTGCCAGATCCCTGTCAGTAGTTCCTGGAATTCCTGAAAACACAAATTATTTTGAGCCCTCTGCTTAGCTTGAGCAATATCTCACTAATGCATCCCGAGAGCAACGGGTTGGGGTTTTACTCTTGCTTAGCATTGGAAGTCTTGTGTTTGGTTTTGTTTGGTTTTTGCATCCCTTGGCATTTTCCCATCTCGGATATAACGTTGCAGTGATTTACATCGGGTCCGTATTTCCTCTGAAGCAACCATTTGCAAAAGGCTCTTCTAAAAGCAACAATCCTCTCTGATGGGTTTGGGAAGCTCTGGAAAATCCCTAGGGTTCGGATTTGCTTGTTCTTAGCAGAGGAAATACAGGATTGCTCATGCAAGTGGTTTGTTTAAGGAATGCTTTTTGTGACATGCACCAAGCGATGCGATGATGCTGCTGGAAGTCTATAGGTGGCCAAGATTTTCTGGTAACTGTTTGAAAGTTGCTATTCCCACTTCTTTGGAGCTTGTGGTGGAAGATTCCTTGACATACCCTCAAGTCTCTCCCAGGTTTTTCCATCTGGGATGTGAAAACTTGTTACGGAAAATTATATCCCTCTAAAAAGATTATGTATTTATTATACTTACATATAGAAAATATTACTGTATGGGTCATGTATCGTTGTTGGATGAGCTGCTCTGTTAGTTTAGAGATGAGCTGGGCCTCTCCACGTTCAATCCAGCTGCCCAAATAGAACCCAGCCAAGTCAGTGCAAACCGGAGGAGTCAATGTGAATCGCTGCGCCTTTGGGCACCAGAGGAGCTTTAGGGGCAGCTCGTGGGGTCTCATCCTGTGTTAGGTGCTCTGCTCCTAGTGGAAAACTTCCCTTTTTGGGGGAGGGGGGGAATTGCCACTGCAGTTCTCTTGGAATGCCCTTGGTACAGAAAAGCATTGCTCAACCTATAGGCTGCGGGGTTCGATGCGCACTGACTGGTGGCTGGGGCTCAGTCCTAACAATGTTGATTGGAAAAGGGTTTCTCTTCACCAATTGGGGGGGTTCCCATTGCTTTGGCCATCACCAAAGAAATAAAGCAAAGGTTGGGCCATCACCAAAGACGTGGAAGCCATCGGCGCTGCTCTGGGATGCAGCGCTTCCCTTGGGAATGCTGGCTTCAGAAACAGCTGCCTTTTTGGTGTATCTGTGCTGCAGGTGAGAGCCACAGCTCGCCCATCACTCACTGCCCAGGCCTTTTGAACCAACATTGTTACTTCGGACTTGATCCCTTTCTCTTGCCATGTTTTCCTGTGGGACACATGGGAATGTGGAGTGGATGATTCCAAAGGAGTGTCGGGGAGGGGGGAGCAAATCCTCACTTCTATAAACCAAGCAGGCTTTCTTTGTTTAAAGGTGGAAAGCTGTTGTGCTGTGAGTCCTGCCCAGCTTCCTTTCACCCCGAGTGTCTCAACATAGAAATGCCAGAGGGATGCTGGAATTGCAATGACTGTAAAGCTGGCAAGAAGCTACGGTACAAGCAGATCGTTTGGGTCAAGCTTGGGAATTACAGGCAAGTCATTAACGCTTTGGATGGCTTTAGTGTGCCATAGAATTCCAGGAAGATGACTCACATCAGCTCAGTCCTTCTAAACAACAACTAGAAATAGAGGAATTCATCTGCTTTGTGTTGGATATCGATGTCAGCTTGACGTGACATTCTCCCTCTTATTCCAGGCACTGATGGACACTTGGTTGTGCTTATGTTTGCTCTATAGAGTGTAATAGTGATGTGGAGAACCAGGGGCTGTCTTTAGAAGGAGGATGTCGTGGCTTGTGTTGGCTGTTAGTCACCCCCAGGAACACAAGCACTTTATGGGTGATCTTAGAAACCCACCCCGATGCCAGCTTTCCCAAAGTCTGGAGTAAGACCTTGTCTCGTGTCATGCATGGTGCTCGGAGCCTCGAATTCCTTCCTTTAGGAAAACTGGCTTTGATTTCTCAGCCCAACCTCGCAGAGATGGTTCAGAGAACTGAGGTGCTTCTTTCTCTTTGTGCTTTGCAGGTGGTGGCCAGCAGAGATCTGCAATCCCAGGTCTGTGCCTCTCAACATACAGGGCCTCAAACATGATATCGGGGACTTCCCAGTATTTTTCTTTGGTTCACATGACTACTATTGGGTACACCAGGGCAGAGTTTTCCCTTATGTTGAAGGAGATAAAAGCTTTGCTGAGGGGCAAACTAGTATTAACAAGACCTTCAAGAAAGGTAAAATCAAACAAAGTTTATAGTGGTTTATGACAAAAATTCCACGTGTTTGTGTCTCCATCCACCACTTAACCTGCATGGGAATATTCTGTGACTAGTGTTCTGTGTTCACCTCCAATGCAAGCGTTCTGTAGCTCCCTTGACTGCAGATAGAACTTGTTTCTTTAAGTGCCTACCCATTGTGTGTCGTTGTGGGCAAGTGCAATTCTTCCCCAGGCTGGGAGATGTGTAGATGGAGCTGGGGCTCTGCTGCATGGGATCATTGTTGGGTAGCCGTACTGCAAAGTACCTGATGATAGATTCATGATGTACTGCAATAACTCATTCTTAGCTTGTTGGGGTTTGTTTATGGAGCTCTGTTCCTAGCTTTTAAGAAGAGAAATGAACATACATACGTGTATTGATGTGGTTAACAGCTGCTGGTGCTAATGGCTTTCTATTTTGAACTCCCTTGCACAGCACTTGAAGAAGCAGCAAAGCGCTTCCAGGAACTGAAAGCACAAAGAGAAAGCAAAGAGGCATTAGAAATTGAAAGGAATTCAAGGAAACCTCCGCCATATAAACACATTAAAGTGAGTTGGCTTCTTTCTTTTCCTCCTTTCCGTGTGTGCCAGGGTAAGCTGGGTCTTTAAATCAATATTTGGAGGTACTCAAAGCATTGTGTGTGACAATTCCAGCATAAGGAAATTCCAAGAAATCATTTTGCTCTTCCTTTCAATGCTCTTTTGTTCTAACTTATTATGGCAGAGTGCTCATGAAAGAGCATTTATGGTTGAAGAACAGCGTCACCTGAGGTAGAAACTGGCTGGTTGTGAGCTTGTCTTGCGTCTTGGCTACTGATGTGTACCAACCTCTGTTAACACAGCCCTCAGGGCTAGCAAGGGTGCCAACTGCTCACCCTGCCCCTTTGCCAGCAGCTTTGGACACACAGGACTTGATGTTGTCCCTTTAATGGTTTTAGTTGGAAGGAATCCCAGCGATGTACTTGATAAACTTGGCGTGCACTGATCTCCTCAAGCAGTGATTTCACTGAGGGAAGACTCAGGCTTTGCTGTCTGGACTCATATGAGTTTTGGTGGTCTTCACTTAAATCCCTTACTGCTGGCTTCCCTGAACAGTGTGTGTCCCTAGTTAAGTTCATGGTTGAGTGACAGGTAGTGGACAACCAGCCACTGGAATCATCTCCCTAGGGAAGTGGATTCCCTAGCACTGGACACAGTTAAGATTCAGCTGGTCAGGGTCCTGGGACATCTGGTCTCAGTCATGCTTTGCCCAGAAAGGTTGGACCAGATGATCCTTCAGCTCCTTTCCAATGGAGCAGTTGCATCCATGCTCTTTGTGCATTGCCTTCATCATCAGTTCCTTTTCCCCTTTGCTCCGCAGTCCAACAAGGTGATAGGGAAGGTGCAGATCCAGGTGGCTGACCTGTCAGAGATCCCTCGCTGTAACTGCAAGCCCTCGGATGAGAACCCCTGTGGCCTGGAATCGGAGTGTTTGAACAGGATGCTGCAGTACGAGTGCCATCCCCAAGTGTGCCCTGCGGGAGAGCGGTGCCAGAACCAGTGTTTCACCAAAAGACTCTACCCTGATGCTGAAATCATCAAAACTGATCGCCGGGGATGGGGCCTCAGGACAAAAAGGAGCATTAAAAAGGTAGAATTACAAAGGACAAAGGCAGCCTTGTCCTCAATTGAAGATGAGGACATCCAGGAGAGCTGGAAAGTGCAGAAAAGGCAGAGAGATCCTGAACTGATTCTTTCCCCATTAGAACCAACGTGGTGCTGAGCTGTACGCACAGGCGGCGTGTAGGATAACCCACAGTGCAATGTCAGGATGAAAGCTTTGTGGATAGTCATTTAAACTGTGAATGTGGTGCTTTTATCTATTTTTACAAGGATTTATCTCCTTAGCTTTAAAGTGTAGTTCACAGTCTCTAGAAATGTGAGATAGAAGGATTATTATGCTGCTGTTCTCATTTTGAGCAGAATTATTGCTTAGACTCACGTCTGCCTACGAGAGGGTTAAATTGCCATGCTTCTTGTGATGACTGTAGTATGTGGGCTGCATCAAAAGGAGCGTGACCAGCAGGTCGAAGGAGGTGATCCTGCCCCTCTGCTCTGCTCTCATGAGACCTCACGTGCAGCACTGTGCATGGAACTATTGGAACAAGTCCAGAGGAGGCCACAAGGATGATTAGGGCCTGGAGCAGCTCCAGGCTGAGGAAGTTGGGGCTGTTCAGCCTGGAGAAGAGAAGGTTGCGTGGAGACCTCATAGCAGCCTTCCAGTATCTGAAGGGGGCCTATAGGGATGCTGGGGAGGGACTCTTCATTAGGGACTGTAGTGACAGGACAAGGGGTAACGGGTTCAAACTGAAACAGGGGAAGTTTAGACTGGATCTAAGGAGGAAATTCTTCACTGTTAGGGTGGTGAGGCACTGGAATGGGTTGCCCATGGAGGTTGTGAATGCTCCATCCCTGGCAGTGTTCAAGGCCAGGTTGGACGAGGCCTTGGGTGAGATGGTTTAGTGTGAGGTGTCCCTGCCCATGGCAGCGGGGTTGGAACTGGATGATCTTAAGGTCCTTTCCAACCTTAACCATTCTATGATTCTATGAAATGCTTTTCTTCCTGTGCTGCTTCCCTTTAGGATAGGAAGGAGATGAGAAACCCGTGCTTAACTTGTTTGCCTTCCCTTCCAGGGTGAATTTGTGAATGAATATGTTGGTGAGCTGATAGACGAGGAGGAGTGCAGACTGCGCATCAAGCGCGCGCACGAGAACAGCGTGACCAACTTCTATATGTTAACTGTAACAAAGGTACACGTCACACCTCGTTCAGTGTGAGCTGTTGAGGGTTGAAACTTGGGGCAAAATGCTGGCAGAAGCATTGTTCCATGTTTGCTCCTACCCTCCTATCCACACCTCAGTGTTTCCCTTTAATGCAGTGGGTGAGGAGGTGAAACAGAGAACCTGTGTCTCAGGTTGTGCCTATTTCACATTGTAGCATCAATATTCAGGCTGTCTTTCATTAACTCTTAAGGGAGAACTTAGCACTTAGAAGCAGTATATGAAATAAGCGTATTTTTGCTGCCTGGGCCATTAGTAATCACTTGTTTCACCTTTTTCTTTGTAATTACTTGACCATGTCTGTGTCTTTTTTGCTCTGAAGGACCGGATCATAGATGCTGGCCCAAAGGGGAATTACTCTCGGTTTATGAACCATAGTTGTAATCCAAACTGTGAAACACAGAAGTGGACAGTGAACGGGGACATTAGAGTTGGACTGTTTGCTCTTTGTGACATTCCTGCAGGTAAGAAGATGCTCTGTTCTGCACATATACTTCTGTCTCCATGGCTGTAACTGGCTGTGGTGGTTTTCCCCTTAAATTCCATAATGCTTATAGGAACTTTGGCATTCATTGGAGCAAAGACAAGTATTTGAGTTCTGGGGATCTGTCGTTGGAGATTTTGAAGCTGAAAGCTGCCGTTAAAGCTGACTCCAGGCTTTGCTGCCAAGTACAGTGTTAGCTCTGGCCTGTAAACGCTTAGCACAGTACTGATCTTTCATCAGGATTTGTCTGGGGTGATGTTATCTTTCTATGCTCAGCGTTTCACCTGATCTCCCATTGTGCCTGGCTCTGTGTGATAGTGGAGTCGAGGAACTCCGTGCATTGTTTCCTTCCAAACACACTGCTGCTGGATCTCCAAGCTCAACCTGATGGATGCCTCCTGCCAAGCCTTGTCTTTCCTCAGCGGCTCTGTGGGTGAATTGTTTTCTCTTCATGTTTCAGGGATGGAGTTAACCTTCAATTACAACTTGGATTGCCTGGGCAATGGGAGGACCGAGTGTCACTGCGGGGCAGAGAACTGCAGTGGTTTCCTCGGGGTGCGTCCAAAGGTACGTGGATGGCAACTGAAGCTTCTCCTACCAGATCCAGTGAGAGCAGGGCAGGGAGGCTCTTGTTTGAGTTACTCTTTAGTTCAGGTTGGCCAAAGACGTGGTGAGTGCTCCATCCCTGGCAGTGTTCAGGGCCAGCCTTGGGTGACATGGCCTAGTGTGAGGCATCCCTGGCCCATGGCAGGGGGTTGGAACTGGATGATCTTAAGGTCATTTCCAACCCAAACTATTCTATGGTTCTATGATTCTAATACTTTCCACCCTTGACAGCCTCTAAAGGCACAGTAGTGCTGTTGTGGACTTCATGTACCAAACTGTGTTAATTCAGGCACACGTGGATGAGCATTTCTGGCTTCTGTAGCTTAAACTCTTATTTGGGGTGGATTTAATGTAGGCAGAGTGCATGCAAATAATAAGCCCAAGTGATTAATTGTAATGCAAGGGGTTTGTAAAGTGACTGTATGCTCTGATCTTTGTAATTGCCAGACAGCATTTGCAACAGCAAACGAAGAGAAGGTGAAGAATGCAAAGTTAAAGCAGAAGAAGAGGAAAATAAAAACAGAGCAGAAGCAGATGCATGAAGACAACTGCTTCCAGTGTGGAGACGGGGGAGAGCTAGTCATGTGTGACAAAAAGGACTGTCCCAAAGCATACCACCTCCTATGCCTTAACCTGACTCAACCCCCTTTTGGTAAGAGCAGTCCTGTGCTTTCCTGTTCAGCTTTCCTTCCTGCAGTGCCAGAGCTGAAATGCAGCATTCATTTAGGTTAAAAGCAGCTTATTGGCTTTGGCAGTGCTGCTTGGTTTTAGGCATACATCAGGTGGCAGTGTTCTGACATGATGAGCAGAGGTGTTGTAATACTTCATGTTCTCTCATGTGTTTAATTTGGCTACTGCTAAAGGGTGGCACGTCCCTTCTGTTTGATTTCTCCATGTTAAGGCAGAGTTCTCTGTAGCCAGGGTTCAGGTTATTCAGCAATACAACGTCTTAATCCCATGGCAGGATTTGGGAAAAGCCTTTATCTCTTTAATCTTCCTGATTCCAAAGACTTTGATGAAAATCATTGGAAGGCCAGATTAGTCTAGGATTAAATAATCCAAGCAGCTGCCACCAGTGAAGCTGAAGAAGCAGCAAGAAGCTTTTGATTTCCCTTTTTCCTATGCTCAGTGCACCTCTGCAGTCCGAGAGTTGAGCATATGGTCATAGAAAGACGTGTCTGAATGGTTTGGGGATCTGGGGCTTTTGTGCTCCAACGTATTTTTACCCAATTTATTCTTCTTTTAGCCATTTCTCACTTAGTTTCCAAAACTAATGCATTCAGGTTTCCATTGAACAGCTTAGTTTGGAGATGCCTCTCTGAGCAAGTCCAGGTCAGTAAGAGATGCTCACAAATCAAACCCAACTCCCCTTGCAAGGACGTTTGGTGTTTTGATGCCAGAGGAGGTTGAGCTCTCTTTGTTTTGAGCTCTGGTTAAGCCCATTTTGATGCTTTGAGCCAAGTGAGGCCTAAAAGATGCCCCGTGTCTGTTGGACACGAGGAGCAGAAGTGGCAACCGCAGTCAGAGCTGGTTTTCCAGTTTCGAAACGCGCTAATCCCAGCTTCCTGTCTGCCTCTCTTCCCTGCCCTTCCCGTCCTCAGGAAAGTGGGAATGTCCGTGGCATCAGTGCGACGTCTGTAGCAACCCCGCCGTTTCCTTCTGCGAGTTCTGCCCTCACTCCTTCTGCAAAGACCACGAGCAGGGAGCGCTGGTGCCGTCGGCGCTGGACGGCCGCCCCTGCTGCTCCGCGCACGACCCTAAGTCTCCCGTGGCCCCCGAGTACTGGAGCAAGATCAAGTGCAAATTGGAAGCACAGAACCCCGCTGAAGAAGCCAAGGAGTGAATTTGGTTACAAAGAGCCAAGAGAAGGGGACGGGCAGGCGATGAACTCAAAGAGACTGCTTGGACACGTTCAGTCTTTGGCATCGTCGTGCGCGGACTGGGATGGGGACCATTTCCTCCGAGCGAGCAGAAGCAGGCGGTGGTGGTTGGGTTTTTGTTGTTTGGTCTTTCTTTTAGCCTTGAATGTGCTACAGCAGCTCTTCCTGTGGGCAACCAGAGACGTCTTGGCCTTCAGAGGAGAAACCTTTTGACAGTGCAGAGAATATTCCGTTTCCAAGCTGTTCTCTTGAGTGTAGAAAAGCAAATCATAGCAGCGTATTTATTTATTTAATTTCTAAAGGGTGTTGGAAGATCTGGCTTTGCTCAGGCTTCGTGGCTTTAGAAACAAAGCAGCAAAGCCAAGGTCACTTCTGTGTGTAGTTTACAGCAAGGACAAAGCCGTCCCCGCTCTGTAGTGCTGAGGTGCCACACTGGCAGATGTGGGGTTCAGACCAGGTGACCCTGAAATGCCTCTATCCCAGTGTTTACTGCTATAAGGCATTTGGAGAAGGTAGGTTATGTTCACGTTAACCTCTGAATGTTGTTGTCAAGCTTTTCCAATGAGAAATGAGGTGGGGGACTTCTTGGAAGGGCTCTTAATGCCGGATCTGGCATTGGTGATGGAGGGCAGGAGTTGCATCTCCCTACTGGAGCTGTAAGTGGGTGCTTGCAGGCAGGTGGAAATGCAGAAGGAGCTTAATGGCACAATAGGCATTCCATTCTCCTGCCTAACCTTCCTAGTCAGGAGAGCCTCAGCCTGCGAGCACACTGAGAACTGAAGTCTTAATCCTGCCCATGGGAGCGCTGCCATTGACTTCTGTAGAGGGAGGAGGACAAATCCCTGCTCTGTGCGTAGGTATTTGTCACCTGCCAAGTCTGGGCTTGTTTCCCTGCAGTTGCATTCATGTGATTCCTTCCTGCTGCCTTCCCAACCTCCCATTAGCTTCAGATCCGAGGAGATTTGAGCCCGGAAGGAATCAGACCCATGTATGTGTTTGCTTTGATGGAATGCTTAGGTATTATTTTTGCTGAGAGAGCTTCTGGCTTTCATTTTTGTTAATGGAGCTAAGGAAAAATCTCAGCACTTCAATGAACAGGGTATTTTCCGCCTGGGTCACGGGCTGTGTTCACAGCAGCCAACGTGAGCCTCTTGAAACACTTCTCCCTTGCATCTCCTCTGTTGGAGAGGCTTATGAAGGGGCTGCTCCAGGAGGAGGTTCCTTTAAGAACCATTCTCTTTCATGTGCAAGGAGCCTGGAGAACTGCTTTCCCCTTTGGTGCACCCTTCAGCCAAGCACTGTGTGTGTGTCCCCTTGCCCTGGTACAGTTAGAGCCCACTTCTGACGTGGGTACTCGAGAATAAGGTATTGAAGATAAGGAATTCATATCAAGTGTTGCTGGCATCTGGCTGAGTGGAGCCTTTGGGTTAAGAGCTGTGTCTTTAGGAGAGCTCCAGAAACGTGGTGACTTCTCAGTTAAGCCAATCAAAGGCAGAAGAAGTACATGGGAGGTGGTGGAAGGTGTCTTGCCTCTGGCTGGTGATGTCTTAGCCCTCAGATGAGGGGTTGGAATCTCTTTGCGTGCAATTAGAAAGGACAGAATACACTACAGTGCCATTAACTGAGCCAGCAGCTCATCTCCTGAGCACCCATGGGTGCTTGGGGTGTACCTGGGCGGGGGGATTCAGTTATGGTGCAGAGGCTCCTGGGCTCTGCAAAGCACTTCATCTTGTGGTCCGTGCTACAGAGGACATCCGAAACACTAACGTTGCTTGAAAGCAGTGCTCTATTTTGGTACTTTTTACACCACAAAAAGCCCTTTGCAGAAAAGGCTTTTCTTTTTCTTCCTGTTTTTGGTGATAAATGTCTCTTTTTAGGCTCTTACTGGGGCTCTTTGCCCTTTTCAGCAGTGCCAGACGTAGCTCTTGCTGCAGTAGGGCCCAGTGTGTTTACTTCAGCTTATTTATTAGGCTTGATCATGTTCAGGTGATGTTCTCTTGGGAATACAGAGCGTGGCTATGGGGTGAGTGCAGTTTTCACTGTGTCAATGGTGTGAGGGCACCAGGACCCCCCTCTTGAGCGCTCCACATGGATGAGAGCTGTGGTCTATCCTTCACCTCGCAGGCCACACAGAGGTTCACAGAAGGCTTAAAAGCATGTCAAACGCTGTGAATTGAGGGTTGCTGCTGCTCCCGTGCCATGCACTCGAGGTCTTGGTTCATTTTGGTCTCAAACTCCTTACAGGTGCTTCTTTTTTCCACCAAAAAGCTAAGATTAAGGATAGCCAAAACCTGGAGCAACAGGAGACTGGTTTATAAGCTGGTGAGCAAAGAGTCTGAACTGGATTTCACTCTACTGGAGAGAAGGTGAATCTTTAATGTTCTGAGATAAGAAAATGCCACATTGAAGCATCTTCTTAACGGTAGGGTTGTTCTATTTGCCAAACACAATGTTCAGGCACACCTTTTAACCCCATCTCAGCCGACTGAATAGTGATAACGGCATTCCTTCATCAGGAAGAGGTTTAATGGATGCTCTAATTGGCATCAAGGGGGAGCTGTATCCTCGACTGGGATGAGTAATACTGGATGGTGATTTGGCTGTTTCATGCTCATGCCTGGAAGAAGTCCCCAGGCCCGCTGTGATTTTGGTTGAGAGCTTGATCCTGCTGTTAAAGGCCCCGTTATTCCTTCACCCCAACGCTTCTCCCTTTGTCTCCCATTCCCAAGGGAGCACCACGCTCTGGCTCCCTCTCCCATCACCTGCGTGTGCTCCCTTTTGGTGCAGCCTCCAAGCTGCTGTGTGAAGTGAACAGGATTGTGGTGTTTACTGGGGCTTTCACTCTGGGTTGCACCTTAGCACAGCACAGAGCACGGCCAAGCGCTGGTTGACTCCCTGCATCCACGGTGCAAGCATTTAGTTGTAGCTTTCAGGTCGTTTCTGTAGACTTCTCCTCTCCATAGACTGTCGAAGGCATTTGCAGCTCAGGAAGGATAAAGCTAAAGGCAATTTGGGGGGCAAGGGGGGGCAAATTCCCTTCACTGCCCACCACCCTGGTCTTGGAGATAGCTTTTGGAATGGAGTAGTAGGGCTGGAACGTTGGGTTTTGGCCTTTCTTGGGAAGAAAACCCTTCCTTGTATCTTTCATTTCAGGATAGAATGGGAAAGACCCAATTCCTAGACGTACTGAACAGCATCCCATGTGTATATATTGAATCTTGACGGAACGCTGTGGGTTGGGAGGGGAGGGGGGTGTCCGGCGCTGGTACGAAGTAGTCACTTTAACATTGAAACCTCTGCCTCATTGAATTCAGGGTTTAATGTACTTGAAGCTCTGCGGTTCCTTCTCCAGCTTTTGGTTGGGTTTGTTTTATTTATGCATTCTTTATGTAGCCTCCATTGAGAAACGTCTTTTTGCCTTCCCTCACCTCCCTCCCTGCTCCCGCTGGATCCGTGGCACGGGGAAAGGGGTCGGTTTCCAGGCTCGAGGGGCGGCACCGTGGGGTGATGCTGCTCAGCTTTTGGGTTTCCCTTGGCTTTCCCCTCCCTTTGTGTAGCAAGGACCCATTTGCACTCACCCTGCTCCGCTTTGGATGGGTTCACAATGGTCCGAGTATAAAGGAAAAGGTAAAAATGCCCTAACAAAAGAAGGTGTTTCCTGTTACGTTCTATTCCTGAGCAGCGAGCTCAGGTTTTATCACCCCATATGGGGCCGTGCTGTGGGGAGAGCGATGCGGAGCCTCTGTGCTCTGCACAGCGGCCTCCGTGTGCTTCATACGAACCCCAAAAGGGAAATCACGTTTGACTTTGCCAAAGCCATTCGCTCCTTCACCGCCTCTGCTGTTACCAACAGGCTATAGGGAACCATTCCCCATCCTGTCTCATTCCCAGTGTCCAACTCTATCCGAGGGGCTGCCGTTGGGATCCGACCCCCCCCCGTTTGCACAAGGCAGGTACGTGCAGATCCCGTTCCCATCCCCGTGTGCTCCGAGGATGCCCTTTGTAGAGTCGTTCTCTCCATAGCCTTTTATCTGTACCAAACCTTGTAGGTCCTGTGAAATGTTCTGTTAAGGCAATCCCTCATAGCAAAAGCATCCATAGTCACTGAAGCCGGTATCCTAAAGAGTCCTTGGGAGTCTCCTAGAAGCTCTTTGACACTAAAGGGAGTAGTGTTCACTTTCCCTGGCCATGTTCCATTGGGGCATTAACTGTATTATGACTTGATGTTGCCGCATAGACTTTGAGATAGCCGATATTGGGGGGTTTTGTTGTCCGGCCTCTGTTCTGCATAGTGTGAAACCTGTAAAGCTTGGGTAACCCTGTACATAGGTAGCTGACCGTCACCTAGTTATAGCGTACCTAGACTTGCCTGTAATATTCTAGCTTCTTCCTTGAATGTGTGTGATGGTAGGAACCATATAATTTTTGTACATTCTATTTCCGGAGATGTTGCCTTTTTATTTTCCAACTCCTTTGGAATTGGGATGTGGTTTTTTTTTTTTGGCTTCCGTGAGGATTCATTTGGGGGAAGGTTTTTAAATGACATTCCACTGATCTGAACTTTTGCTTGAGGTTGACTTCAATAAATCGTTCTGAATGTTCCAACGACCGACGAGGCTTTGCCCTCCCTCTTGTCTTGGGGTGGGCAGGGAGAACAGGGGTTCACCCTGCTCCTGAGGGAGCTCCCGGTGTGGGTCCTATGGGAGCTGCTCTCTGCGTGGCTCCTTCTTGGTTCCTAGGGGAAGCAGTCCCCTCGGGGCTCCCTCTTGGTCCCTATGGGAACCGGTCCCCTTGGTTCCTATGGGATCCACTCTCCTCGGGGCTCCTCCTTGGTTCCTATGGGATCCGCTCCCCTCGGTGCTCCTTGCTCAATTCCTATGGGATCTGATCCCCTCGGTGCTCTCTGCTCGGTTCCTATGGGATCCGCTCCCCTTGGGGCTCCCCCTTGGTTCCTATGGGATCCGCTCCCCTTGGGGCTCCCCCTCGGTCCCTATGGGATCCACTCACCTCTGTGCTCCCTGCTCGTTTCCTATGGCATCCGCTCCCCTTGGGGTTCCCCCTTGGTTCCTATGGGATCCGCTTCCCTCGGGGCTCCCCCTCGGTTCCTATGGGATCCACTCCCCTCTGTGCTCCCTGCTCGTTTCCTATGGGATCCGCTCCCCTTGGGGTTCCCCCTTGGTTCCTATGGGATCCGCTTCCCTCGGGGCTCCCCCTCGGTTCCTATGGGATCCACTCCCCTCTGTGCTCCCTGCTCGTTTCCTATGGGATCCGCTCCCCTTGGGGTTCCCCCTTGGTTCCTATGGGATCCGCTTCCCTCGGGGCTCCCCCTCGGTTCCTATGGGATCCACTCCCCTCTGTGCTCCCTGCTCGTTTCCTATGGGAATCGCTTCCCTCGGAGCTCCTCCTTGGTCCCCATAGGAACCGGTCCCCTTGGTTCCTATGGGATCCGCTCCCCTCGGTGCTCCCTGCTCGTTTCCTATGGGGTCCGCCTCCCTCGGAGCTCCTCCTTGGTCCCCATAGGAACCGGTCCCCTTGGTCCCTATGGGATCCGCTCCCTATGGGACCCGATCTCCCCAGCGGTCCAAGCGGGCTTCCCCGCCCCTGAGCCAGGAAGGGCCGCGGCCGGGCTCCTCCCCGGGCGGTGCGGGGCGGGCGCTGGGGCCATGCGGCGTGCGGGCTGCGGTGCGGAGCTGGCGGCCGAGGCTGCGGTGCGGGCCCTGCTGCTGGCGGCGTTCGTGTGAGTGGGAGCGGGGGGGCTCGGCTCGGTTCGGCCCCGGCCCCGCAGCCTGAGCCCCGCTCCGGTTCCCTCCGTCCCTCCCGCAGCACCATGGAGTTCCTGCCGCCCTTCCAGCGCCTGGTGCAGCCCGAGGAGATGTGGCTCTATCGGAACCCCTACACGGAGGCGGATCGAGTGCCCGCGCTGCCCATGGCCGTGAGTTCCGCCCCTTCCTGCGGGTTTGCTCTGGGCCTTGGGGTTAAAGGCACCTTAAAGCTCATCCAGCTCCCACCCCATGGGGCACGGGAGGATGCTCCAACCTGGCCTTGAGCGCTGCCAGGGATGGGGCGGCCGCATCTTCTCCGTGCGACCCATCACCCTCACGGGGTGCTTAAGAGCCCATTGCGGTCTCCCCTCTGCCTAAAGAGCTGTACTGTCGTTACTTTCAGGCGCCATGGGTGTCCCTGGGGGTGGGATGCTGGGGGATAACCGCGTTTCCCTGCATCAGCGTCTCCCGTGGTTTTTCGCTGATGAGAGCAGTGTGGGTGCTGCAGGCAGGGCTGGGTTTGTGTTCCGACGGACGTGCAGCGCTGCGAGGGGGCAGGATGCTGCCTGCCTTTGCCCTTGGGTCCTGACAGCCGTCTCCTCCCGTGGCAGCTCATCGCCTTCCTGTCCCCGCTGCTCCTCATCCTCCTGGCAAGGCTCTTCCTGGGCGCCGACCGGGAGGACACACGGGAAGCCTGCCTCGGTGAGCTGCTCCTGAGCCCGCTGCCGTGCTGTGCCGGGGGTCTGAGGCCTCAGCTGCGTGGCTCTGCATGAAGCTCAAGCGCTGAGCGTGCCTCAGCATAGAACCACAGGGTGGGGTGGGGTGGAATCGCCCTTAAGAGCATCCAGTTCCAACCCCTTGCAGTGGGCAGGGATGCCTCGTACTAAACCGCGTCACCCAAAGCTCTGTACGGACAGGGATGGAGCATTCACTGCTCTGGGCACCCCGTGCCAGCGCCTCAGCACCCTCACAGTAAAGAACTTCTTTATCTCCAATCTGAACTCCCCCTGTTTCAGTCTGAACCCATCGCCCCTTGTCCTATCCAGCCCCTGCTGAAGAGCCCCTCTCCAGCATCCTTATAGCCCCCCTTCAGAAGCTGCTCTGAGGTGGTGCCTCCAACACGGGGATGGTGCTGATGTGACCCCTCTGCTCTCTCCCAGCTGCCAGCCTCGCTCTTGCCCTGAACGGGGTCCTTACAAACGCCCTGAAGCTCGTGGTGGGCAGGTGAGAAACTGGCTCCTTCCTCCTTGCACCGTGCAGGGAGGGGATGCGGGTCCGGGCCATGGCAGAGCTGCAATGGGAGCAGCAAGGGCCAGAAGCTGGAGCTGGCCACACTC